CAACTATTTGAATCAAATTACTGCATGTGTAGTTTCTGACTGTATCAAAGCTTTTCAATTTTTTTACAATAAATTCTGTATTCAGTGTGATTCCTCTCCTTTCCCTGAGTTAATTGCCTACCCACATACCACTCCTTAATTCCTTAGCCTGCCTAGACATTGTATGGAACTACAAAGGTGTGTCTCCGAAATTTGCTAACGTGGCGCGAAATGAGTCAACACTCTCGCACACCCACATGGACACACTTACACTGACACATTAAGTGCCTTCATGTTCATACAGGTTTGTGTTTAATACCCAGCATTCTGGAAGAAAAAGTGGTTTTAGATTCCTGATAAAGTGATGTCAGTCAGGGTGGGGGAATGGGATATATAACCTTACCTTAGGGATAAAGGGGCAGGATTTAGCAGAGGTAGGACACGCCCTGCCCTCCAGTTTATCTGTCAGCATGTACATAGCCGACCATTATGGAGGGACTTTGTGTAAATAAGACCCAGACGTTTTTTGATAAGCTCAGAAACTGTGTGCTGGAGTGAAGGTTTAAAGCAAGACTATGTAAGCTTTTTAAAGCACAGATATGTAGCTCTTGGTGTGGTATGACCAGTAGCGTGTGGTGGCTAACGCTAGCTAAGCAAACTTTAATATGTCACTTTGTGTAATCTGACATTACTGAATCACTGTACTGACTCTATGACTCCTTTTTACACTACTGATTGAAGCACTTATCATTATCCAGTGATTGGAACTTGTTGCCACAGGTGAGCAAAAGGTACATGAGGTTGCATAAACAGAAATATGATAGATGAATGGCCAAAAATTCCTGCTGTCATTTAGATTTATTGACAGATTGATCCACTGTTTTTTGTCTCTTTCTGCAGATTTTTTTTTTTTTTTTTTTTTTGTAGCCAGGGTGTAATCCTGGAAATATGCTTAGAATTTTCTATCAGGGAAACCCAGAGTAATAATATTAAATAGTGTTCAAGTAATGTCTGTTTTATTGCATTTGGTGTTCTGCCTGTACCTCTGTGGAAAAAAAAAGTGTGGATAACAGGAAGTGATGCATTTGATGTTCCCTAATTTGTTAGAATTAGAGACCACAGAGCAGGAAATGTGTAGATAGGCTTAGAAACAACGGTGACTGTGACTGAAAAGCTGAAAAAAGCCAGCTAAGGTGACTAAAACTAACTGGACATATACTTGAATAAAGAACTGATTAATGCATTGCAACACTGACCTAAAAACAGATATAGGCAGATGCCAAAATAAATAAGGGTATTTTTAACACAGTCATGATGCTTTGATGCGTGTGTTGATTTCTTACAACAGTTAGTCGTTAAACACAGCATGCTCAAACACTGTTATAAGCTGCTATCTTTTCAGTAAATCAGAGATGTTCAGGGTGTGGTTAGTCATCACTGTCTGGAATCCATAGCAGCCCTTCCCAAAACTGTTACACCCCCCATCTCTTCTCTTTTTTTGGTCACAATGAGTAACCTCGAATGTGAGAATGTTTGAGGAATGCTGTGAATAAGTAATGATTAACCATGAGGATGTGTGTTTGTGTTTGTTTGTATGTAAGTGTGTGACTGAGAAGCTTTTTACCTTTTTAGGCTCTTGTTGGATATCTATGTTACTTTTAGGTATATTGTTCATTAAAGTTTTATTCAGTGCAATCTGAAGTATAAAAATAATCAGCACAGTCTTTTTATGATTTTTTACGATGCCCAGTGACTTAGCTTGTGTGTGCATTTTCTTGCGCAAATGATTAAGTGATAGTACATGCAGGTTACCACACCTCGTCCTTCCCCGCCTTGGTGAAGCAAAGCAAAGAGGAAGGGGTGTGTTCAGGGCCCTGCCCACCATGTCCTCTACACACTAGCGCCACTAAATACACACTCGCTCATCACACACAAGGACAGGCCCAGACTTCATAGCCCACAGGCACCATTTGCTATGAAAGGAATAGAGTGAGCGGGAGGAAAAGAAAAAGAGAGAGAAGAGAAAAAAAAACATAAGGAGGAAAAAGAAGGGCAGAGTCGAAACCCAATGAGGGAGTGAGGAGGTTGAGAGGCGAGAAGGGGAGAGAAATCATAGGTTTGTGAAGTGCTGAGTGGATTGTGGCCACAGGACTGCATACTCTGGGACCAATCGCTGGCCAGAGGGACAGATAGGAGCGAGAAAAGAAGAAGTTGCAATCGGGGGGGAAACCCGCCAAGGATACTTTATCATTAGGACTATTATCCCGGGTGCTGACAAACCGTGATAATGAACTCCCAGTCGCAGAGGTACAGGAATTTCTCCTCTGACAGCATGGGCAGAGAGAGGATGCCCTCAGACGAAGGCTATTACCAAGGGATGCTGAAAGCTATGGACGGGAGGAAAGGTACCAGTATGGTGGCAGAAGTGGAAAATAACTTAATTGCAAGCCTTGATCTTGATCTATTTGTTGCCATATGTGTGAGACGCCGATGGGCAAGAATTAAGTGTTTTTCCATGAAGGGGTGAAAAAAGAGTTTAATGTAACTTCATCATTGGGTAATGTTCAGGTTGTAGACTTCTCTGTCTGTAACATCTGAAAGAGGTCTGTGTGGTGAGGCTTCATTGGTTAGCTTGTTGTATAATGCATGATTTTGTACATCAGTAGGCTCGTGTCAGATTCCAAAGGTGGTGGTATCCATGGTTTTGCCACAGGCATCTTTGAATGAAGTTAAATAATCTGCATTAATTCCAGATTACATGTCAAATGACAGACATGCAGTTATTCTGATTGGACTGTACTGTCCAGCGTCTCTCCACACTGTAACTTAAAGGAGGATACTCCCCTTTTCTAATGCATCAGCAGCTTCCTCACTTCGTATTGGTCAGCAAAGCCCATTCACAATATTGTTGTGTGGCATGCTTGTGTTTTGGGGTGAGTCACTGTAGCTACAGTCTGTTTGCATTCAGTTGTGCTGTAGCATGGATGAATATGTTTTCTTCCCTTTTTCAAGTTAGATTTGTTCCTCTTTTTTCCCCTGAAACTCTCCAGACGTATTTTTTACAGGTCAAAATTGAAATATTACACAAACTGATTATTCAATAAATAAAATAAAAAATAAAATTTTATTATGCAGTGGTATACAGGGGTGGACATTATCAAAACACTTTGAATCGACCAGTGTGATTGTGTGTTTGGGTGTCTCTTGTTCCTCATGCAGCAATAGTATCAGCCTCAAGAACCATTGACCAGTGGTGGACAAAGCATTGAAGTTTTTAACTTAAGTGGAAGTAGCAGTTAAACAACAGTACTATCCCCTACATGTACCTAAAGTACTTATCATGTAGGGATGATTAACCCTAGGGTATTGTTATTAATTACATTATTGCAGTAGCGATGCATTGATGTGTAAATATCTGGTTAAAGTGGAGCAAATTTTGATGAAACTGTTGGATCTCTTGGATCGATTTCATCTATATCATCAAGTTAATTATATGTTGCATTTAAAATGTTAATCTGCAAAGTAACTAGAAATAATAGCTGTCAAATCATGGATAAAAAAAAGTACCTTTCCCTCTGAAATGTAATTAAATAGAAGTATAAATCAGCCTAAAATGAAAATAAAGTACCTTAAAGTTATGCTCTAGAGCAGGACTTAAGTACATGTACTTTGCTACAGTACAGTGTTTTGGTTGTAAACTCACCCAACACCCCACTAAAAACCTGTTTGTGTCTCGTGACATTTGATACTTAAAGTTCTCTCAATCCCTATCCACCCACATGCACTTCACTTATAAAGAGCAGTGACTCCGCAAAGAGTTGCAGCGGTTGAAACAGGATTAGGTAACGTGGTGTGACCAGAATTCAGAGACCCAACAGGTTAAGGTGCAACTCCTTTGGGAAGCTGCTTTAATCATGAATGTGTGTGTCACCAATCATCACGTTTCCACTTTAGGTGACTTTTGCCTCCTTGACAGGAAGTAGAGCTGTGGAGGTCACATAGGAAAGCCCAGGCCCCCATTGGTTTAATGATAAATGAGGAGGTTAAAGGTCTGTGTCGTGTATGTAAGGTTACCATGGAAACACAGTTCCATAACACATTTGCAGGAGTTGTTGAGAAAGCAAGTGTAGCCTCTAGGTGCCTATTTTGTCTAATGCTGAATCACAGCCCCTTGCTTTTCATTGCTGGGTGTGGTAGCATATGGCAGAGAGTTAGATCACTTCCTTTAAACTGATAACACAAGATATTGTGTTGGGGTCCATAGTTCATTCTGGCGTGATGAGGATGGGTTATTTCCTGTGTGAGTAAAGGTCCGTCAAAAGACATGAAGTGACATTGAGAAAAGAGATTCCCAAATCTGTCTGATTGGTGCCAAAGTGCCACTGTCACTGTGGGAAATGAAGACTGTTCAGTAAACCACAACCTTTAGATCAGGAGGGTTCAGATGGCCGAAAACACACCAATGCATCCGCTGTGTTCATGATAAAAGTTGCAGTGCCACACCTTGTGGTTTTACCTGGACTCCAATAGGAACGTGGGTGTTCTTAGTTTTGTTGTCTTAGCAGGTGTGTTCCTTGCCAAGATCTTGTTGTTTCTTGTTGGAAAATTGCACTCTTCAATAGTTTTGCCATGTCTTGTAGTAACCATGCAGCGTGTCTTCTCATACCACATTTGGCCTTTACAATGGAATCCTTTCAGGAATGTTTCTGTCCAAGAGCCTGCCCGGTCAGTGTTGTCATAGAGACAGACGTGACCTTGCAAATACAATGTTTCCGAGACAATAGGGGCGTATCTGCCGACAGTGAATGTTCTCTGATGCGGTCTGACTCAGATGCAGGCATGCACAGTCAGGCAATTTTTCAGCCAGTGATGAATCTGTTTGTCCTACAGAAATCAAACATGTATGGTATCTTGGGGATTTCCTCGTTTCCTTTCTTGCTTCTAACTGCTATACACCCATCATTTCTATTTTTTCTTTGTTTTACTTGTCTGATGTTTAACTGTGGTTTCTTTCTTTGCAGATGAACGAGATAGAGTACAGAAAAAGACCTTCACAAAATGGGTGAACAAGCACTTGATGAAGGTAAAGACATTCACTCATTGCTCTTGTTTCTTAAGGCACATTATTGCTCACATACCTGCTCGCACATGCCCACAATTTCATGTTCCATATTCACTTTCACACGAACATGTTACGCTCGTGCAAAATAAGCGGAAGTCTACCAAAAAGTGTCCGCAAATGTCACTTTCTCTGAACCTCATGGACATGTGGTTGAATGCATTCTTACATAACAACCACAGTGGATATCAAAGGGTACAACTCCCTGCTTGTGGTCCAGGTCTGAATAATACAAGTGGCAAACAGCAGATGTTCTCTCAGTGAATCATCGTACTGATTCGCCTTCAGCCACATGATGCTATGCTGAGTGTTTGATAATTGTTGCAACCTTTTGGTACAGGTTCCAGATTAAGATTGAAACCCATGTACTGCAATTACAGATGCAAGTAGTTGGACAGAATTAAGATAGGAGAGTTTATGAGATGACGTCAGTTTAAATATTAGAGGACCTGATAACCTCTAACAACAAAATTGTTTTGACCGCAGAGTCTCATCAGATTCCCAGAATGCAATCTTATGTTATGGGTTACTTTGAATGAAAGGCCATCATTGTCTCAATGCAATCCATCCCTCACCTGTGCTTTAGAAGCAACCCTGTGGAAATTACAATATGTCCGACACCTCACCCCGACTCACATCACACACACTACCTAGTCCATTATTGTCTGACACTGACGGGGAGGCTTACCAGAAGTCTAGTCTGTCATCAGCTGAGAGATTGTTTACACCATCCATCAGCTCTCGTCCACTCTCGCCTACCTCACTCTCTATTTTCAAACTGCGACCTGAAAGCCCTCCAATGCATCACACAGTCAGGGAGGTAAACAGGTCAGAATGGGGGTAAAGTCAAACAGGCCATACTCTTGACTCTGGAGTTGCTCATTAGGATTGAAAAATTAGCACCCGTAACACAATACTACCCCTCCCACAGAGCAGTAAAATATCCCCGCTCGTGCCACTTTTCTTCCAGGAAACTCCCATTGGCAGCAATGCATTTACAGCCTTATGACATTAAGTGCTTCCACATTATTTGTATATTCGCTCCTCAGACACAGGGCCATTCATTTTTTTTAAACGGAACAAGAGGGAAAAAATAAGCACAAAGAGAGTGTTTTCCTTTCCATGAATGTGAACGAATTCTGCTACCACAGCATGGGAACACACTGCAGTTTGTCTTAAGTGTTCAATGTGAATTTTGGAGGGTGAGTCACAGACATCTGGACTCGCTTAGCTCCTTCTGAAAAGGCAAATTCTGGTCTCGGCCCAGAGCCCATGGTGGTTAAGGCCAACGGTAGCACATGTGCTGCGCAGACTCCAGGGTCTGCGTTCATGCCCGGCCCTACACTGACAGGCATGCACTGATGCGTGTGAAGTTGCATAAGTATTAACATCGATGTGGCTGTTGTCAAAACATTGTTTAAGAATAAGCTGTATAACATAAACATGAGTGATTTTCTCAAAAGTTTAAAGATTTGCACATCGATATTCATATTAAAATGTAAATGTAAAACAGACTAAGAAAAGCATCTAATAATACAGTCACCTTATAGAAATGCCGGTGAAGAAAAGGGCATGTTTGGTTAGGAAAGTGTTAACTCTGTGGCTGAATGTGCAAGACTGCTCCTCTAAGGTTAAACTGATGTTAAACTGATTTAATGGCTTAATGGTTGGCTTGATGAGAGCAGACTACAGCTCGGGTGCAGCAATGAAAAGCTGCAAAGGGCCACTGAGTGGTTTCCCCTGCTCAATAAATCTTTTTATACTATGGAACGTCGCGCCAGCTGCAGAACAAAAACCTGTCCCCAGCACAATCTTACAAACTACGTTTCATTGGATTTAAAAACTACAGTTGTGCGTAATGAAAGGATCACCTTGAGGTTTTGAAGGAATTGCACAAGATGATGTAAACGTTACATAAAACTCGAAGCATGTTAAGTGTTTTGTTTCCAGACAGTCGTGTGGAGAGCCGGGATGAGGGGCTGTCAGCCATGTGTGCTAATGATATTTACCTTGAGAAGTTTACAGAGCAGCTCTTTTTGACTATGAGAGGGCAATTTGTAGCATGACACTTACCTCTCAGCTGCAACAGTGTGGCGAATCACACGGAGCAGAGTCTCAAGTAATGGAGGGGTGGTGATAGATGGCTCTTGAGCACACACTGAGGACACACACTGCAAGACAATCACAAAATTAAAAATGTAATCAAAGGAAATTAACATTTATGTTTGATTAAGATGTTTCAAGTTTTATTTAAATGCGTGTAACTCAATATACAGATATTTCTATTAGAGTACACTCTGTAAGGTGATCAAACCACACAACATACCATCTCGAGGATGTTTTAAATGTGTAGACAGTGAACCCTAGTGGCCGCAGTGTTGGTTACCTTTTCTCAGATCCACTCATCTTTGCCCAGCCAGAAGGGAGGAGCATATCTAAGGTTTGGAGAACTGTGTTGAAATTCTTGCCAACATAAATGAGCCACTGTTGTAACTTGCAAGGGAAATGTACTTTCATTCCATTTGAGGGCCGAGGCCTCCTTCACCCACATGACCGAACACTCTCAGATGACACATGCACTAACTGGATTTTGTCATAGAACAAAAACTGTTTAATTATTTTGTGCTTCATCTTTTCTGTCTCACACCCCATCGTGTTAATCATCTAATTCTCCATTTAACCCAAATCATTGTTCTTCATTTCATCGTCATTCATTTCTGCTCTTCTCCCCTACTGTCCTTGTTGTTTCCACTCTTACTGTTTCTCCATTACTCATCCATCTGTTCTCATCTTTCACCCGTCCTCACCCAGCATCGGAGGCCAGAGGTAGGTACTGGCATGTCCAAGCAGGACTGCCATAAATGTGTGGTCATGGGGACTCTGCATGGAGAAAACTCCCTCACTTCTTTTTTTTTCCAACTTCCTCCTCCTATTTAATCTTGTGTTTTTTGATATCAACACAACATCCCTCCTCACTGTCTGGTTGCAAGTCCACCACACCCCAATTTTATTAATATGAAGTTTCTTGGGTTTTGTGTGTTTCAGTTGGTTTCATGGTCACCAGCACACCTTTTTTTTTACCTCACTCATCGGGTTTTTATTTGGTCCCATCTATCACTTTTCAGGGATGACAGCTGACATTTGGCATTTGGAGTAGGAGTCAGGCTTGGCTGCTCACGGCTATGCATTCCTGACCTGTGTAGAATTGTACAAGTAAAAAGAATGCTCTGAGCACTGTAGAAAACTTATAGAAGATAAAATGGCTGTAAAGCACTTTAAAGCACTTTCCATTACAGCTAAGTAGTGTTAAAAGTTGGGTAACCTTAAAGTTGGTTTTTGTCATCATATTTGACACTTCATTAGCCTCATTAGCCTTAGCACCTCACAAAAACCGCACCACATGTTGGCATTCATTTTAGTAGAGTACCTCTGAGACCTTTCTTCACATTGTAGCCATCAGCAACAGCTTTTTAAAATAACTAGTTTGGTGATTGAATGGAAGACAATCTAAATTTAATTAAATACGAAGTCCTGATTTTGTGCTCTGCATCAGTACTGAAACAAATGTGCCAGCTGTTACTCCTGTATACTGTATAATATGGGCTGTTTGTGTAAATCATGGTACTGCCACCTTGACATTTATTCCCCTCATGACATGCACTTTCCCTTTGTCCTGGCAGGCGCAGCGTCACGTGACAGACCTGTATGAAGATCTTCGAGATGGACATAACCTGATCTCGCTGTTGGAGGTTCTCTCTGGAGAAACGCTGGTGAGTATTGACATGATGTCTGCTTTTGACCTTGCCTAGGTGAACATATACGCCCAAGCTGTGCATCCTTTACCCCAACTAAACTCCAAACCAAAGCCGAACTCAGACTAATTACATGAGGAAGGAGTACTTATCTTGAGTCAACCTGGAATATCAACCCTGTGGCAACAAGTTGTAACCAACCTCAGCCAAGCTGTCAGTCAGAGGGCTTAACCTGAGTTGAACTTTGCTAAACAAAGACTTATTTACTGACTCTGGCAGCTCTCGAGTCTATGATCCCTGCCCTTTTTTCGTGGATTTTTTTTTTTTCATCAAGACGTGACTTCACATACAAGTTTCGCTCTTTACTCTTTGTTTTAAACTAAAACCTTAAGGCTTACACACCAGAGTCATTTCAAAGCCAGCGGCTGGGGACTTTGTTTTACACCCTGGGGTTCCAATCTGTACAGAAGCTTCTCTGCTGCTGTAGTCCATCGCTCCCTCCACCAGCTCCAGCTCTGCTCATCTTCTAAACGCCTCCATAGCCTTGACACATTAATTCCATTTTGGCCTGTGTGTGTGAACTATATTCCTATCTGATGTACTTCTTCTCTACTACTCCTCTTCCTCGTACCCCTTCTCCCCTGGTTTGCCTTCCTATAACCTTCCTCTGTGTGTGCTCGTCTTTGCCGTCTGGCCTTCGCCTCCTCTCTTTGCACTGCTCTTGCTGGGGCTAGCCAAGGGAGAGAGACGTGGCCAGGAGCTCTCGGTTGGTGAGTGGGTCGTTAACTTACAGTAGACATCCTATTTTTATTATAGTTATCATTATTATTCATCCCCGCTTTTCCAGTAATTTGGCTGTGCATGGTTTCCAGACTTCCATTGCGATTCAAGGGGTTGTGTTGCCTTTTTTCTTTCTCTCATTGACAGGCTTGCTTTAAGCATGTAGCTGCTGGATAAACACACATATTCAATTATCAGTCTGCAACTTGCAGGATCTATTGAATAACTTGGCAGGTTTTGGTGCAAGCAATACTTTGTTTTGCAGTATTTTGATGTGTTTGTATTCATTAAGGTACTTTTTTTTCTTTTGTTCAGCATTACTTTACTTTATATTGTCAATTTTTTTTGATTAACATTGATCAACATTGTGCAACATGAGCTAACTTTAGTCTGCTATCAGGTGACTTGAATTATACAAAACTGTGCCTGAGCCAATGCTAATTCCCTGAGGTAATATGTATTCTAAAGGGTTTATTATTTCCAATCTTTTCTCTTTGGAAAAAACTGAGCCAAAAGAAAAATATCAAAGATTCATCAGTTATTATTACCATTTTTCTTTCATCATTCCATCTGATTTTCAGTTTTCCTTCCCATTAATTTATCTGTTTTGGTTGAATGCCTTCCGTTCTACTTCACCATGATTATACCAAAAGCATTGTCTCTGACAGTTTATTGTCCATCATGTAAATAAATACATCTTTATCTCTGTTCTCTCCTCCTCAGCCCAGAGAGAAAGGTCGCATGCGATTCCACAAACTGCAGAATGTACAGATAGCACTGGACTTCCTCAGACACCGGCAGGTATGACATGTAAAATGATACCTTGAAACTTGACCAAATTATGTCAATGCCTTGTCCCAAGACACCTCATTGTGTTTTCATGAGATGCTTTAATTGTTAATATAATATGACTGTTTTGTTTTCTCAGGTCAAGCTGGTTAACATCAGAAACGATGACATAGCAGATGGGAACCCCAAGCTGACCCTGGGGTTAATATGGACCATCATCCTCCACTTCCAGGTCTCCTCTTCTGTCAGTGTCATGTTTCATTTATATTACCGCTCTACACCTATCTCTCTGGGATCTGCACCTGTCAGCTGCTGTTTCTTCCCTGGAGCCAATCTGAGTGGACTCTACTCTTCAAAATTCCTCTCAAATAATTTATTTTCTTATCAAAATAGGAGACATTCTGTAGCATACTTACACTGCAGTCACGTGTTCATGAATTCATGAACAGTATAAAGAAATTAAACACCATCAGGGTGTGTAGGTGTGAGTCACTCTCTCCCTGACTCCCAAGGGGAGGGTGTGTCAGGTCGAGTGTACAAACTGTTGATGTTGACACTCCCAGCCACATCCCATACACCCTGGCCTCTTCCTGCTTTTCCTGTGTATGCCAAGAGCTGCCAGGCAGAAATCCCCCGGCATCTGCCTCAAAGGCTGGGCCACACCTTCTAATATCAGATGATTTAGGTTCGGGTTGCAGAAAGCAGAAGCTTATGAGAAGTAATGGAGACATTGGTGTTGAAAGTGGTGATCTGGTGAAGGTGCCATTGTGCCCTGTAGATACACACAATGTTCCCAGAGTCTTTATGGTTTTTAAGAATAGAGAGGAAAATAGTTGGGCTGTGGTTGCTGGTGAGTCATAGATATCAAAGGGAGAGAGGAAAATTCCCCTTGTATCACGTAATGTGGTGTAAAATCTCACAATGTCATTATCCTGAATTAGTTTAACTCACAGAGAGGAGGAGATTTTGATCTGAGATTAGATAGTTACTGTGGGGCCCACATCATCAAAACAGCCAGGTGGATGGTAGACAACCGTGTATACAGTCTGTATGCATTTTATTGAAGCAGGGGAGTGACTTGTCTTCATTTGTTTCCAGTTAATGATTTTTTAAAGATTATCCCTCATTTAAAAATATTTGCAGATTTGCAGGGTAGACACAATACACATTAGTTTACAACACACACACACACACACACACACACACAATGGAAAAACCCAGTGCATATGACTCATACCCCCAAATTTCCCATATGTAAAGTTATCTGGATGCCGCCGCAGCAGCAGTGTTTCCCCAGACTAGCCCAGACAGAAATCCTTGTGTATCCTGTGAGCCAAGTGAAAAGCAGTAACACTTTAATCTACTGAACTTTTAATGTAACATGCTTATCGACAACTAGGGAAGACATTAAAGGACCAGTGTGCATGATTCGGGGACAGAAATTCACAGAAATGGAATGTAGTATATAATTATAACTCCATCAGTGTGTACCACCTTAAACTAAGAGTTGTTTTTGTTACCTTAGAATGAACCCTTCATATTGACATAGGGAGCAGGTCCTCCCCCACTGAGTCTGCCATGTTGCATGTTGTTTCTATGGTAGCCCAGAGTGGACAAGCTGAACACTGTCTCTAGATAGGACCTTTTGCATTTTTGAGTTGGCTTGAATTTACACCATGCCACCATAGAATATCCTGCCTGCTTGAAAATAAGAAAGAAGTAAGTGGAGGGCCATCAAGTTGGCTGCAATGTGTATCCTCACCACTAGATGCCACTAAATCCTGTGCACTGGTCCTTTAAGTCAAGGAACAATAAAGGGGTTAATTGGTCTCAGACTTATGATGATATTAACATTTTATTTTAAAATGAACCATGGTGTCTGGTGTCTTTTTAAATTAAGTCTTTTGGTTTCCACTAATGACTAACTTCCTCCACATTTTCTCAACGTGGATTATTAACATCCACTGCACATCATCCTCCTTCCTAATTCTGTATCTGTATGTTGTCTTAGATCTCAGATATTCAGATCAACGGGCAGTCAGAGGACATGACAGCCAAGGAGAAGCTGCTGCTCTGGTCCCAGAGGATGACGGACGGCTACCAGAACATCCGCTGTGATAACTTCACCACCAGTTGGAGGGACGGCAAGCTCTTCAACGCCGTCATTCACAAACACTAGTGAGTGGTCATTTATTGCTGATGAATTGTGTGATTGTAAAATGATAACTGCAATAGTATGCTAATCGTTGCATTTTTTGTTTTTTTCATTTGTACATTAAAACCAAGACAGTAGTACTATATCTGCTCAACATTTATAGTTAACCGTTAAATATAAATGATTGTTAAAAAAAAAAAAGCAGGGCTTTTTATTTGCTTAAATACAACCAGAAATGCTCGGGCTTGTCATGACTCTTCACCATCCATGAATTTTATTTGAATATGGAGTACACTGGTGTATGAGTGGGACCATGGCATGCTTTCCAAAGTCAAAATACACTCTTTAATGCCAGTTTAAACCTGCTCTGTAATTAAATACGACTGAGTGTTGATAAGATATGTCTCTTCTAGTCTAAATAATTTAAGACACCATAACCATGGCGTGACTTTTTTATGTGTATTATATTTGATTTATTTTAATGGAAAGGCAGTGTGGCATAGATTTATTAATGTGAAGCCTCCATATAGTTGCACTGATAGTGCACAAACTGATTATGCACTGTTGTCTGTTCAGTCAGGTTTTAAAATCTGATGTTTTTGCTTTACGCTACCCCCCAAAAATCTTTTATTTAACCTATTTTCTTCTTGCTGCACCAGACATTAGCTCTGCTTTATTAAAATCTGTATTAATACCTCTCCATGAACATGTCAGGCCTTCAGGCGAGGAATACCACTGGCAGGCGTTGGCCATGAGTAACACAGTACCACATTAAGATGATAATTCATCTATTAAACATGATTAGCTTATTAGATTGTTGGGAACCTAGTATTAAAAGTGAAATCTTAACTGTTCTGTTGTTGAACACTAAATATGCTAATTCCCCTAAAGTTGTTGTGTGTCTTTATAGTAGAATTAGTGGTTAAGAATGGCTTTGTGTGGAGACATCCTGGGAAATGAATGTGCATTTATTTCTCAGGACAGTTTGTCAGTACAATTACCCGTCTGTTGGTTTCTTTATAGGTGTTTTCATAAAGGGATTCGTGCAGAGGAGTCCAGAGAGCAGAGTGGTATTAGATGAGAGAAAGTTAAATGCTGAGCATGATGTAGATCTGAAGAGCCATTATTTTTTGAAAGAAAGAGATGCCTGCAGGGGCAAGTTTCCTTGAAGTTGAGCGTGTATCTGAAATTTTTTTTCTTTCTCTCTGTCTCTTTTGGAGATACCTGAGGCTGGATTAGTGTTTGCTTTCATAATGGTCAGGGGTGTGGTGTGTGGGCGTAACTGTAACACTCTCTGGCTGCTGCATGAAAACTGTGGCGTTACTCCGTGCCTAGGCATAGTTGAGGGCATCTGATGGAGAATATGGGTTCATCCAGGGAATTCCAGATTGTCGAAGGTTAATGTTGGTGTGTAAAGGTTTAAAAAATGAATTTACAAAGATTCGGTCGAGTTGAGGTTTTATGTAGCAAAGCTTGATGAAGGAGCAGTGACTTGGCTGTACCGCTAGGAGGCTTTTTCAACTAAACAGCCCTGCAGGAGGATTAAGGGGCTCTTCACGTGATGATGGACACCTGAGAGAATGCAAAGGATGGATTTACATGCAACCATCAAAAGATTTCTTAGCATGAAGCTGTAAGGTAACCTTTCACGTGCCACTGGATAAGGACCATCAGGCAGTGTTGAAGATGCTTAGTGTAAGGAATAAGGCTAAGAAGAAGAAGAAGGGAAGCCTCGGCTTCATTAGTGGCGTGTCAGGATCCAACGGCGATTTGGACAACCGGGTGGTGATGCTGTGCGAGGATATCCCATCAGAGGGATCCTCCTGGGACTCAGGGAGGGGCTCCAACAGCTCGGGGGCCCGCTCCAGCAGTGAGGAACTAGGCCACGGATGGAGGTCCTGTAGCTTTCATGGAAGAGAGGGACAGAGCGTGAGCAGCTCCTCTCGGCCAACAAAGCAGTACTCTGTTCGAGAAATTCGCCACGTGGAGGCTTCTCCTGTTTATGGACAGAATGGGGGGCGCTCTGTGCGCATCAGAGAACCGTATGAATCTGCTCCTCCTGTTACTTTGTACACATTTTGTATTTGCTTGTTGCTTATTACTGATTGTTTGGTAGTGCATTTAACTTCACAGTTTATGACACTATGATTTATAGTTCTGTTATAGTTAAGTATGCAGGCATGACAGATGAGATTATGTGATGCACTCAATCATGAAGAAGACGTGAACTTACCTTAAAATGTGTCAGCGTTGATTACGTTTAGCTGCTCTATAAATTACATTCCACCAGTAGATACTCTGACATCTGCCAGAGAAAGTCAAACACCCAGGGGACACAAAAGGCAGGTGCTGGTACAGGTCTGTCAGAAAGTGGAACAGGTGGGCTTTTTAATAACATGCAGCCATTGGCACAATCACTGCTAACATACTAAGTGAGCAGACCTGTACAGACTGCATTCATTTTGTATATCTGTTAATGTTATGGCATTTAGCCCTCCATTCCATTCCACTTCCCAAGCTTTATTTTTGATCTCTGAGGCTGAGAATACAACGCAACATATGCAGGTAGTAGCCACTGGTGTCACTAAAATTTAAAGTGCAGCTTTATAGCTTTAGATATTGCTCTCAAATGTATAATGGCAGTGTTGTTATGGAAACTCTAAATTACATCATTACACTGCAGATTTTATTCAGTCATGCAACTGAACTCTTATGACATGTTTGACTAGACCACCAAGATTACTACAGCTACATCCGCACTAATGCGTTTTCAGTTTAAAACTCATAACTTCTGCTATGTTTATACCAAGATGCCACGAGACCGGCATTTTGGAACCCCTAAAATAGAGACCTTTGGAAACACTGCTGACCCTGTTTTAGTTTGAACACTCCGGGGTTGCGTTTTAGTCTGGATGTTGTGTCTGGATGTTTTCCGCTGCCTTGACCATCTTATACTTGTGTTACTTTTGGTAACAGTTCCATCTAATCGTGGGTACAAGCAAAAAAATCTCTGGTCTTTCTTTTTGCAATCTCTCCAGTATTTTCTGTAATTAAGCAACCAATTGCAGAGCAGACAATCTGCTTCCTGTTTACATCGGCACGCACATGCCCAGTGTATGTGAATGGTCCTTTGATAGGCATTTTCAGGTGTGTTAGATTTTTTTCTGCAATGGTGCTAAAATACTTTATGTGTATGGAGATCTTTTTGTTTTTAAATGCTGTTTTGAAATGAAAAGATTTAGTGTGGATGAGGCCTGGATAGCTTACCTCTCTTGCATGGACACTGTAGGTAATTAATTACCATGTTTGTGCTCCCCTAGTCCCAGACTCATCGACATGGGCAAAGTGTACAGACAGACCAACCTGGAGAACCTGGAACAGGCCTTCGGTGTGGCAGAGAGAGACCTGGGAGTGACACGCCTACTGGACCCTGAGGGTAAGACTGGCCTAAAGTCGACTGAATCTGAGACACCAGACTAGTTTTTGACAATAGTTTTATTCAGGTGTTTTATGCGGCAGTATCTCTACATATTACTGACTGATGTTATTAATAATGAGACGCCATATAATTTAATATGACCTTATCCTTTCAGATGTTGATGTCCCACACCCTGATGAGAAGTCCATCATCACTTACGTATCATCTCTGTATGATGTCATGCCTCGGGTTGATGTACATGATGGCGTCAGAGCTAACGTAAGGAACTTGTTCCAAACTAGGAGCCTTAATTGAATCATAAACTATAAGCTATAAATAAATGTGCTTCAGGGTAATGCAAACATTTGCTCTAATTTGATCTGACTGAATGCTTGATCAGATTTACTCAAACCTGAATAGCCTCGTGACTCTGTGTATAAACCAGCTTTTGTGAGTGGTGGTTTTTGATGCTTCCAGATGTTCAAAGAGAAAAAGAAGTCTTGTGAAACCAAGTATGGCAGGAAATTAGCAACCTGTGGTGTTTACACTGCATAACAGATAGCTCATAGGGCCCATATGTATTGTCACACATCATGTGTTACCATGCTATACACTAGCATACTGCATACTATACACAGTACTATACAGTACTGTATGGTAGTTCATACAGACATACTTATTATACCAAGGCTATGCTGGGGCATTTAATGTTCTTTAAGTCCTAAGCTTAAACTTAAGTAATCCAAAACACAAGTATAACTGCACAAACTGACTCTGGGAGAACACCCTCTGTCCGTCTGCCACCATTGTCTTCCCTCTCCCACTATGTCCTCCACCTCTGCCCCCTTCACAGCCCCGTCTCCACTGTCCGCCTCCTTGTCCACTCACACAAGACCTGGATTGTTTGGTACCTAATTGAGTTTAGTGCTGTGTGTGAGTGATTGAAACATGTCGACGCAGGAGAAGCAGCGCCGCCTTGTCTGTTGTTGTTAAACTGTCGTTTTCTGCTGCGTCGGCTGCAGGAGCTGGAGCTGCGCTGGCAGGAGTACTACGAACTGGTGACTGTTCTGCTCCAGTGGATCCGCCACCATGTCATGATCTTCGAGGAGAGGAAGTTCCCGAGCAGCTATGAGGAGATAGAGGTGAGGTGATATGCTGATATATGTTGTCTCTCTTTGATATTGGTCTGTTTGCACTAAATGCTCTCCATGAAAAGTTGTATTTATGTTATTAACAAAAACTATTAAAACACAGTGCATAATATAAGTATTATGAAAAAGAGGTTTCCATTGTTGGATCAAAGAACACGCTTGCATTAAGTCTAGCTGTGGGCAGATAGAAGACACTGTATTCACAGACACTGTTGTACTGTAGGTGGGGCAGTGTCTGAGAAAATACAGCCAAAAGGCAGATAATGCTGAACTTAATCCTGAGGAGAATGACTGCTGTGCCACTCCCTGCCTGTGCTGCATAACAAAAGCATAGCGTGACTTTAGTATTTTTCCTCATTCTCTTTGAGGTTAACTTATCATGGGCACAGCACCATCAAAAGTAGCTGTTTGGGTGTGCTTCTCTGAAGCTGTTTAGTCTGGTTAAAGAACAAGTAAAAGTTTCTTGAGTAGTGATACAGGCAGTGAAGCGATTCACCTCATTATATGTTCAGCTCAGTTTACACCAGTCAGACATTTATTTTATTTTAATGTCTACTTTAATATTTTATTTTATTTATTTCATTGTCTATTTTAGTATCTTATTTATATCTTCATCTTTATCTCTTTTATTTCCATTCATGCTGTATTTCTATTTCTACTTTGCAAGGAGCATTGGAACAAAAACAATTTCCCCCCGGGGATTAATAAAGTATTCTGAATCTGAATCATGGGAATGAACAAACAGTCCTACAGAGGATAGCACCTCACTGTATACAGACAATTAGAGCTGTAGTGTGTGGTGTTACTGTAATGTACTTATCCTATTTAGAAAATTAGGGTTTTAGATTCATTTAACTGATTTAAGTGCATGACACTGTGTCATTTACAAAGAAAAGCCAAGGTTTCATCATATGTTCTGTAGAAGCTGGCAATGACGATGAAAATAAATAAATAAATACATAGAGAGAATTCGCCAGTTTAAACTTTTTTTGTGTTGTTTTTTTCTTCAGCTCCTGTGGCGCCAGTTCTTGAAGTTCAAAGAGACCGAGCTGCCAGTGAAAGAGACCGACAAGAACCGGTCTAAACACATCTACCAGTCCTTTGAGGTAAGCAAACCCTCATTTTCTAGTCTTCTGTATTTTACTGTCCTCTGTCTGACTGAGTTATGACTTATGCATTCTACTCCCATCTGCTCACAGAGTGCCGTGCATGCTGGTCAGGTGAAGGTCCCTCCAGGCTACCATCCCATCGATGTGGAGAAAGAATGGGGTAAACTCCATGTGGCCATCTTGGAAAGAGAACGGCTGCTCAGGATAGAGTTTGAGAGGTAGGGACAGTGCTGGATATGCAATGATACACTGTATATATTCCTTATGGGTGAGATTTTTATTGTACTATTTTTCCAGCCAAGGTGTGTTGTGCTAACAAGACAGAACAGCATAGAAATCAATAAATCAGACACCATATCCAGCTAGCTGCAATCTTGCCCACTAACATACACAATGTCGTACGTTAAAATACGTTAAAATAAAGAGGATAGAATACACACAGTATGTATACCCAGAAGTGACACCACACCCTGTTTTCTCTGTAAGATAAAAATAACTTGTCATAATGGTTTTGACATGTACATACCACAGTTAGCAGTTTAGAAAGGAAAAGACAATGCTGAGCAATGTTGTTTCAACAGGGGCCAACATTACATGTCATAATCATAATCAGTTTTGGAACAGTAATACGATAATAAGATAGTAAATAAATGCAGAAAAGACAGCTAATATTATCAAGCACTCTTGCTAATAACTGAAAAATGCTAGCTAGCTAGTAGCCTAGCTTTAGCCTCAAGGTTAATGAATTAGCTACCCTGCTAACCTTCCGAAGCTGTGCTCATGAAAGGAAAGACAAAAATACATAATTCCTAATTATATTTTATGTACCTTTGACTAAAGATGCTTCTAAATCAAACAACTATGAATTTTATTTAAGCATTGTAGATTTTTTTGTTTTAAGTTAATGACTTATTGCATCATTTTTCTGTTTTCGTACAGGATAGTCAAATAATTTAGTGAAAGTCTTTTTGGTTTCAATCAAAGCAAGAGAGACACATAAAGAGATATAATAAGGTCCGATAATATGGGATGAGAAAAAGACATCAAGATTAAAACTTTCTGTGTATTTAGAGTAGTGTGGCGTCATGCCTAGAAAATCTGATGGCTTCATGTCACGAGATTGTGCAGTCATCTTGTTGTCTGATAGCCTTGTTTATGGTTCTGAGATGTGGAATGACTGACTGCAGACTGACTGCAGACTGAATGTCTTTGTCAGGAAACTGAGACATTTTCATCTCACTCTGTGCTGCTGCGTGTTTTCCTAAGACACAATGGGAGTGTGAGGGGAACTGACTGTCTTGTCCCTGGAACTGTAATCTTTATAAAAGAATTGAGGAATGGCATTTGTGAGTGACCCTCATAAATTGGAGTATTTGCTACATCGCAGGAGGCCGTAAGTCGTGATCTTTAGCTTCTGGTGGTTGTGTGGTTGTCTCAACACAGGTTGTCTGTCCTAAAAATGGCAAGAAGGGAGTTGGTACTGTGACAATCACGGGACAAGGATTATCACAGGGATTAATTTTTTTCAATTGAATTTTTATTTTTTTATCCAGACTTGAGAGGCTCCAGAGAATTGTCACTAAAGTCCAGATGGAGTCGGGTACATGCGACGACCAACTCAACCACCTGGAGACCCTTCTGCAGAAGGTGAGTCCTTTTCAGGTCTAACATTAATACTATACTTTGATATGTGTTCATAAAGAAGAATTTCATCATGATGAAAGAGTTTTGGATTTTAAGTTTTTCCCAATAACCTTTAAAATTAATTAAGCAGGAGATGGCTGCTGGACTCAGCATGCATAGCGGGCATATAGTCCAATTCAGCTCCAATTTCACACCATTTAGTGTAATGCAAACTTGCTAGAAACATCCCTCCGATCAGACATTATAGAACATAGCGTACCTAAGCTCTACAAAGATTATCTGCCAGTCATATTGGCTGTAGCTACAGAAAAGTAAAAGCAAATCATAGGAATCTTTACTGTCCTTCAGGCATAGAAAGGGCTGATGCTTATTTGTGTCAATCACTGTCACAAGCTCTTACTTTCCTTCTAATTTGGGTGGCATTTGAAAAGAAGATGAAAATTCATATTTTCATTGGCTTTCATCCCTTCAGGACATTCGTCTGATGAATGCAGGGAAACCACCTCAGCACACAGCAGAGGTGGAGAGAGAGCTGGACAAGGCAGACCATGTGATTCGCCTGCTCTTCAACGATGTGCAGGTACTCAAGGATGGGCGCCACCCTCAGGCTGAACAGATGTACCGCAGGTGGGTGCCACATGTTTTTGCATTTAACCTTTGACAAAATACACCCTGCTACAAAACTGCTCAGAATACAAAAAAACAAAAGTATAAAATATAAAGCACTGTGTTTCTCATCTCCATAGGGTTTACCGCATCCATGAACGCCTGGTGAACCTGCGCAGCGATTACAACCTCCGCCTGAAGACCTCTGTGACAACTGTCCAGGCTCCCCTGGTGCAGACCACCCAGCATACCATTGTTAAAGCACGGCCCGAGATGGACGATGTGACCCTTCGCTATGTCAAAGACCTTCTGGCGTGGGTGGAGGAGAACCAGCTTCGCATTGATGAGGCTGAGTGGGGATCTGATCTGCCCTCTGTGGAGTCCCAGCTGGGCAGCCACAGGGGCCTGCACCAAACTGTGGAGGACTTCCGATCCAAGATTGAACGTGCCAAGGCCGATGAGGTAGTACTCAAATCACAACCACTGTAAAGGATTCCATACTGTCTGATGACGTTGGGTTGTTGATTTTAAAAGTAATCCCTGTTGCATCTTTCATATTTTTCAGAGCCAGCTTTCTCCTGTTAGCAAGGGTGCGTACAAAGAGTACCTGGGTAAACTGGACCTTCAGTATGGCAAACTACTGGTAAATATTTTCATATTTCAAACTGCACAGTAAAGGCTTTGAAATGTACTATCTGAGTACGTATTTTTTAATCAACTATTGGTAATTTGTTCTTTTTTTCCCTAGAACTCTTCCAAGTTCCGCCTGAGGAACTTAGATTCACTCCACGCCTTTGTCAGCGCTGCCACCAAGGAACTGATGTGGTTAAACGACAAAGAAGAAGAGGAGGTCAACTTCGACTGGAGTGACAGGAACACCAACATGACAGCCAAGAAAGACAACTACTCGGTGTGTTTAAGAAGATTTTGTTTGATTTTGTAAAAGATTTTTTTTAAATAAATGAATTAAATAAATTCATGATTTTTCTGCCAAGATTGTCGTTAACTATTGTTTTGATTGTTCAGGGTCTCATGAGAGAGCTGGAGCTGAGGGAGAAGAAAGTCAATGACATCCAGGCCATGGGAGACAAACTTGTCAGGGATGGACATCCTGGCAAGAAGACAGTTGAGGTAAGTACTCTAGTTAACCCAGCTGAAGTGTAAAAATCTGCATACTGTTTAAAAGCTACAGAGTCATCATGTCCCCTCTGTCTCTTGCAGGCCTTTACAGCCGCTCTGCAGACTCAGTGGAGCTGGATCCTCCAGCTGTGCTGCTGTATCGAGGCTCATCTCAAAGAAAACACAGCCTACTACCAGGTGTGTAACAGTGACATTAATGACATTGAAATGTGGAATTCCAACAACCCAACAGTAAATATCCATCAATATATCTGGAGCAAAGAGTCAAATTTTCTGTCCCCCATGATGTCCTTCCCTTGCAGTTCTTTGGCGATGTCAAAGAGGCTCAGGACAAGATGAAGAAAATTCAAGAGAATATGAAAAAGAAATACAGCTGTGATCGCACCACCACAGCCACACGCCTGGAGGATCTGCTGCAGGATGCTGTGGTGAGTGATGACTGCTTACGTGTGTATATCTAGATGTATATGCACATGATCATGCCAGATAAGTTCCTTAAGGGGGAATTAGAAAGTACATCATGGTGATAATGATGTTGTTCAGAATCAAAATTAAAAAAGATAACTGAAAATTATTTTGAGTTTAATCTTTGTTTGTATTTATTTATTTTTCACCAGGAGGAAAAAGAGCAGCTGAATGAATACAAGACCCTTGTGAATGGCCTGAACAAGAGAGCCAAGTCCATCATCCAGCTGAAACCACGCAACCCCACCACCGCCATCAAAGGCAAACTGCCCATTCAGGCCGTCTGTGACTTCAAGCAACAGGAGGTTAGTGATTTATGATCCATTCACAGCCCAGAGAGGTCATACTTGTCACATAACCTCAGAAATGTCTTCTTTAATGTGTGTAATTTATCAATTGTGGATTGTGTTTCAGATCACTGTCCATAAAGGAGATGAGTGTGCACTCCTCAACAACTCGCAGCCCTTCAAGTGGAAGGTCCTAAACCGCTCTGGACACGAGGCGATAGTGCCCTCCGTCTGCTTCATGGTACCTCCTGTCAACAAGGAGGCCGTGGACAGTGTGTCCAGGTGAGGACAATAAGAAACAGAATGAGACACCTATGTGACAGCTGTGTGTATAAACAGAGTAATGCAGCTACTCAGCCACACCCTGTCTTAAACGCCACTGCTTTTTCTGACACAAAAAAGTACTGATCCCAATTGTGACCTTGATCCATTTGACAAATAATTTACAGATGTTGTTCACAGTAAGAGGCAATATATTTCTATATCGTTCTGAAGCAGCAGGGTTTATGGGAAATGTGGTTATTTTATTTGGAAATATGTGATACTACACATAACTTATAACAGTTAACTGATTTAAGAGGGCAATTCTGTTTCTGTCAACCAATCCAATCTCATTGCACACATTACACTAAATGCATTATGGGTTTAATTTTAAACTGTAGTGTAAGTAAGTACTGTCTGTTTCTTAATTCTTGCACTTTCTGTGTTACTCTTCTACTTCAGTCTGGATGCAGGTCATCAGCAGTTGGTGTCTATGTGGCAGAAGCTCCATATCGACATGAAGAGCTTGCTGTCATGGCAGTACCTGATGAGAGACTTCACACAGATACGCTCCTGGAACATCACCATGGTGAGCGTCAACACTTTTCATGCCAAAAAAAAAAAAAGAAAGCCATTAAGAGGTGTTATGTCAGGTGTAAAGGAGCTAGTCACCGTTGCTTTGTGCTGCACTCATATGGTAGTTATCACCAATATTAGGATGGCCTCATGACAGGAGCGTAGCGGCTACTCTCTGATTACCTCCCAGTTAATACAGTTAGCTTTGTCAGCAGTGTTTGTGCCGTTAGCCCTGTTAGCTTATAACCATCAGCTCAGCCATCTTCATGTTGAGAGCTGTGTGCAGACAATCTAGACGGTAAATGAATCAAGGTCTGGGGTGGGTATACAGTATCAGGCCCCTTGAGTCTGTTAAAAGAGTAGGTTATACAGGGAAGAATTTATTATGTTTAGTGTTTGGAATCAAATTCAGTCACTGCAGGAGAAGTTAATGACAGTGGGAAGAGTACACTAGCCTTTATATAATTAACAGCTAAACAGTTTAGTTTGTGCTGAAATGATTCAGCACATTTTAGTCCATAAAAATAAATCTGACTCCGAACCAAAAATACATAATTAAATCAAAATACAGCATCAACCTCCTCAGAGCATGCAGTGGAATTCCTCTTAAGTCCTGCATCCTAATCCCTCCCCTGTTCTTCTCTATCCTGTGCAGTTAAAGACCATGAAACCAGAGGAGTACAGGCTGTTGATGAGGAACCTGGAAATCCACTACCAGGACTACATACGTGACAGCCAGGACTCGCAGCTCTTTGGCCCAGATGACCACACGCAGGTCGAGGAGGACTACACCAAGTCGACCCAGCATTTCGACAACCTGCTTCGCTCCATGGAGAAAGGTAACTTTTTTTTCCCCTCTAAACAACAAATTAGCTTGTAATTATTCATGGATATGTGAAGCAGATATACAATAAGTGAAAAGAAGCTTTACAGTATATAACTGTCGTTCACCTTTCAGGGCTAAGGGTTATTAAGCTCAAAGGTGAGTGATGTCAAGCTAGTCAAAGCTACGGCTCACCAAGCTAGTGCGTGTACGAGCTTTTAAGCTTTGGATGAGACGTTCAAAGATAACCATTAGTGTTAGAATAGAGTTCACAGTGACTGCATGTTGTTTTGGTTCCTACGCTTTTCTTTTTGCAGCTCTACACAAATACATATTATGTGAGTTAGGCTACACTGTGTTGTGCTTTTATCATGCAGCCTCCTAATAGTGTGATTACTTACTTCAAGTACAAAATACTTACTATATAATGTATGCTATGACTTTAGTGTATATGGTGACGCATGTGTTTGTGTCACAACACATGAAGAGCTGCATGTATGATCGTGCTTACGTGCACGGCAGATATGTTGTAGATGTTGCAGAGACACAGTGTGATTTGAGAATGTGAAAATTTTTAGTAAGATGTAACCATGTCCTAAAGTAACAACAACATAAACCTGCCGTATCACACTGTGCCATGTACAGAAAACTCTTATCTAAGCCGTGTATTTAGTATTTCTTAACCTAGTCAGTATTTCTACAATCTTGGTCCTTGGTCTATTTTCCCACCAACTTCAGTCTCACGGTAAATAAATAATTTGTTGTGCTGTTCTAAACTAATAAATATGATGTAACACAGGTCAACAGGATGAGACCCTGTGTAAGAACTACATCTCTGAGATCAAGGACCTGCGTGTGCGTATAGAGGACTGTGAGACTGGGACTGTGGCTCGCATACGCAAACCTATGGACAAGGAACCACTGAAAGAATGTGTTCAGAAGACAACAGACCAGAAGGTACTGTATATAACAATGTGACCATATTAATTACACCACATTACCATATTAATTAGAAATTAGTAGAGCATTAGGAGACTGCTACTACGGGCTTCTATATTTCATTCCAAATTGTGTGACACTAGGCTTAAATCAGCTGGGATGCCTGCAGCCTAGATGATTATCTCAAATGCTAATTTACATTAGCTTTTCTTGTGTTCTCAGTAAAGAGAATGAAGCAGAAACACATACTGATATCTTCTTTACAAGAGGAAATGTGTCTCAATGTAGAGAGATGCAAAACAGATGTATAAATACTGTGGTCATTGTGTATTTGTCAGCAGCAATATTGCACATTTTCCTGACCGTCATGACATTTTGAGTACTACGAGCTTGCCTAGTTTTCATATTAGCCTGATGACCCGACATTATTGGAAGTACAACATCCATAACACAATTCTTAACAGCCCACTGACCCCAGAGGCAAAACAAATTCATCCATGCAGTGGAAAGAAGGGAAAATAAAAGAAGAGGAAGGTACAACAGGAATTAGATAATTCTGTAGGGGGCAATGTTAGGCAGCATTGGTGGAGAGAAAAAAAGAGGAATACATTTTCATATTCTCTCCCCTAAACCTCTGGGCACGCTATAGAGCCTCAGTTAGTGTCGCTAAGAGAATTGTAATTGCTTTAAGGTCTTGAATTTGTAGCAGCTCAGGGAGAGTTGCAGATAGTGCCGTAGGTCTGCTGACTGCCTCTGACCACAGCTGCTCAGCTCCCTGCTGCCCTGAGACTATTAGAATGTAGAAACCCAGCACAGGTTCATTTGAGTTTTAAAGTTGCATTATAGCACATTTGTGGAATCTTCTCCTCATAACAATGTGGTTGTGAGTCCTTTGTCGGTCCTTTTTTACATGCTTTACCTCAGTTAAGTTGACTCTTTAACTCTTGTCCTCTTTTATACAGAAAGTCCAAGTAAAGCTTGAGGGCCTCAAAAAGGACCTTGATAAGGTGTCTGTGAAGACACAAGAGGTCCTGGCCTCCCCTCAGCCGTCTCCCTCAGCTCCCGTCCTGCGCTCAGAGCTTGACCTCACTGTCGAGAAGATGGATCATGCTTACATGCTCTCCTCGGTTTATCTTGACAAGTGAGTCCACAGCCAATTATTCTTGAGAGTTAAAGGATCGGTGCGTAGGATTAAGAAAACTCTATTAGTAGAAATGATATTCACTATTATGTTTTCATTAGTGTATCATCACCTGAAACTAAGAATTGTTGTGTTTACATTGGCTTAAAATGAGCCCTTCATATCTACATAGGGAGCGGGTCCTCTTCCATGGAGCCCGAAATGTTGCACTGCTGTGTTTCTACAGACACCCAGATCGGACAAACTGAACTGAGTCTAGAGAAGGCCTTTCACATTTTTACATTACCTGAAGGCCATTATAGGTTCTCATACAGGCTTGGAGAGGGAGGGGTGCAGAAAGTGATATTCAGTTGGTTGCAGTTTGCAACCTCACCATTAGATACCACAAAAACTTCATACTGGTTCTTTTCTAGAACATGCACTGTTTTCTGATTCCTTGCTACTTTATTTACTTATTGTATCTTGCCCCAGGCTGAAGACCGTGGAAATGGTCATCCGTAACACACAGGGTGCTGAAGGAGTTCTCAAGCAGTACGAGGACTGTCTGCGTGAGGTTCACACCGTGCCAGGCGATGTCAAGGAAGTAGAGGCTTACAGAACAACGCTTAAGGTAAGCAGCATACAATTCTTTTACAAGGTTTCTGGGTTCAGATAAAAACATCTGTTAGAGGAGAACTTTCTCAAGTGTTGTATATTTGCATACAGACGAATTAATAAAAATAAGTGAAGTAGCGGGAAGTTCGGGAACTGTTCCCTTTGAGTGGTCTTGTCTGAACTGATGATTGTGACCCTGTTTGCTCATGGCTGACTGGCCTTTCTATTTGTATGAAATCTTGCAGAAAATGCGGGCTGAGGCTGAAGGTGAACAGCCAGTGTTTGATTCTCTGGAAGAAGAGCTGAAGAAGGCCACTGCAGTGAGTAACAAGATGTCACGTGTGCACAACGAGCGTGACGTTGAGCTGGACCACTACCGCCAGCAGCTGTCTAATCTTCAGGACCGCTGGAAGGCTGTGTTCACCCAGATAGATATTCGCCAGAGAGAGCTAGAGCAGCTTGGCCGCCAGCTAGGCTACTATCGTGATAGCTATGATTGGCTGATGCGCTGGATTTCTGATGCCAAGAAAAGGCAGGAGAAGATCCAGGCTGTGCCCATCACTGACAGCAAAACTCTGAAAGAACAACTGGCCCAGGAGAAGGTATATCGAGTACTGCTTGATATAATTAGCTTCTTAATTTCTAAGCATATTAGTTATTTATAAATCATTTTCATATGACGCTAGTGAGTTCAAATCTCAATTGAAATCCCTTTTTCAAAACAGAATCTACTGGAGGAGATTGAGGGTAACAAAGACAAAGTTGATGAGTGTCAAAAATATGCTAAAGCATACATTGATACGATCAAGGTGAGCATTAAACATCCCTAGCTTGCATTAACTATTGTAAAAATTGTACTTTTGAGCATTCAGATGAAGTATTTGTGGCCTTACTGATGTTTGGAGAATGTCCTTTTTTGTCAAATAGGACTATGAACTCCAGCTGGTGGCCTACAAAGCTCATGTAGATCCTCTTGCTTCACCCTTGAAGAAAAGCAAACTGGATTCTGCTTCTGACAACATCATTCAGGAGGTGTGTTTCTTAGAACCCATGTTGGATACAGCTTCTAGAAAATATTTTGATAAAGGACAGCCTAACCATGAAGTGATTTTACTGTGAAAGACATATGCATGAAGATGAAAATGACACATTTGTTTGTCTCTCCTTGTATCAGTATGTAACACTGAGGACCAGGTACAGTGAGCTGATGACACTGACAAGTCAGTACATCAAGTTCATCACCGACACGCAGCACCGCCTGGAGGACGAGGAGGTGCGTGACAACTGGCTGAGGATCCCAAACAAACTAAATTCTAACATTAACCTAACCAACCAACCAAATAATCAACCAACCAACAAACGAGATTACCTGCCGATCACTGAAACGCATGCATGCACGCACGCACTGTGTGTCTCACACACACACGTACACACACGCATTACATTAATGTACGGATGACAAATAGTTCCTTTGCACAGGTTATGCTTGAAACATTGGCATGCTGTAGCTGATCTATTAGCCAGTGAAGCACATGTTTTTGGAGCATAGTATATGCTTTTAGTTTAGAAAAAGAAACAAATAATAATTGCAAACAAATAAGATGCATGAGGTTTGAGTGTGTTTACATTTAAGAGAATACAGCATCTAAATAGATTATTCATTCAGCTACAATGAGACCAAAGTTCTCAATATCAGTCTAAAAGTAGTCCAAACAAATAGAGCACACTGTGTGTTCATTGAGCCATCTCCATCCATTGTGTGTATTGTGACGTTGTAGATTTAGCGTGAGGGGTTCTTTCTTTCACTACGATTTTCTTTTCCTTTTTTTACGTCTGGCCACTTCATTTCCTGAGGTTAAAATCAAAGTGGAGACTATCTTTCAGCCTGGTTATCATGGTCTTCAGCTCTACTTCCGCCCCTAAATTAACACAAGTTTAAAGTTTCACATTTTTTTCTAACCCTAATGTTTTGTTTGTTTCTTTGCTTCTCTTAACTGCTTGCCAGTGCTTTGCCATGATGAATGCTTAACTTGTTTGAGCATTAAAGAGGTAAATTATTTACAGTGTTTCAAGTACCTACTGTACCGCATAAGCTCCATTCTCTCTGTCATCCTAACATCTGTCTCTCTCTCAAACTGCATTTTGGCTTTTCATGGCATATTAACGTTCTTGCTTTCACTGCAGCCTTTTAGATATATACAGTAACTCCCTGCTTTGAGAATCACTTCCTTTCTTACACTATGTCCTTGATATGTTTTTAACCCACATTACAATGCTTTTCTACACTTCCTGGAGTCATAAACTGGTTCCCTAACTTACAGTGACATCACCTAAACCTGCTATCCTTGACTTTGCCTTTCTTTCCCATCCCATTTTATGGCAAATAGTGATTTAAAGAACCCCCAGTGCATGGGATGAGATAAAAAGTAGTCTAAGTGAATGGTTTGAATAATACTCTAACATGAGGCATTCTCTAATAAAATAAAAATATGTGGGAGATACTCTATTATCTGCATCAAACAAGACAGTACCTGCCACATATGTAATAAACACTGAGATAAACATTTCAACAAATTGTTTTCAACAATGTGATACGAATTGAAGCTAAATTGTAGACATACAATATAATATATTGGAATCTCAATTATAATGCAGTTTTTGAAAGTTAGTGCTACAGCTACAGTTGCATGCCATGATTTTCTTGCTGTGTTGTGAAGTGATATTTTGTTTCCATACATTAATTGATTCACCCCCATCATCCATTTTTTCCTGAATTGTCTTGTCATTAATTATTTTAATTGCATCGTGAATTTAACATCACTTTAATGAATGTGCATCTAATTTGTGTGTAGTGATTGATCTTTGACTTGACCTTTGAGCTAACTTTAACATTAACATTGCCTCGGTAATACAGTACATTAAGTTGCTCTTATTCCAGTGTGATTAGCTTGTGATTACTATAGTAATTACAAATTTAATCCACACTGCTCTGAGCTAGTTAATGTAAAGTGCTACCTTTAACATGTCATGCTTGATTATAATCCTTTCTTTACCATTTGCTTCCACTAATGCAGAAAGCTGCAGAGAAACTCAAAGCGGAAGAGCAGAAAAAAATGGCCGAGATGCAGGCCGAGTTAGACAAACAGAAGCAGTTAGCTGAAGCTCACGCAAAGGCTATTGCCAAAGCTGAGAAAGAAGCTCGAGAGCTGAAGCTCAGAATGCAGGAAGAAGTGAGCAAGAGAGAGGTTGCTGCTGTAGATGCAGAAAAGCAAAAGCAGAACATCCAGCAGGAACTGCATGAGCTCAAGAACCTCTCAGAGCAGCAGATCAAGGACAAAAGTCAACAGGTGGATGACGCTCTTCAAAGCAGGACCAAGATTGAGGAGGAAATCCGCCTCATCAGGATCCAACTTGAGACAACAGTTAAACAAAAGTCTACTGCAGAATCTGAGCTTGAGCAACTTCGTGACAGAGCAGATGAAGCTGAGAAACTCAGAAAGGCAGCCCAGGAAGAAGCTGAGAAGCTCCGCAAACAAGTCAATGAAGAGACCCAGAAAAAACGCATGGCAGAGGAAGAACTCAAACGCAAATCTGAGGCAGAGAAAGAAGCTGCTAAGCAAAAGCAAAAAGCTCTGGAAGACCTTGAAAACCTCAAGAGGCAGGCAGAGGAGGCTGAAAGGCAAGTGAAGCAAGCTGAGATTGAAAAGGAGAGGCAAATCCAGGTTGCCCAGGAGGTAGCCCAGAAGAGTGCAGCTGCTCAGCTCCAGAGCAAACACATGTCCTATGTGGAAAAGACCTCAAAATTGGAGGAAACATTAAAACAAGAGCATGGTGCTGTCCTTCAACTGCAAGAAGAAGCGGCGCGTCTCAAGAAACAACAGGAGGATGCAATAAATGCCAGAGAAGAGGCAGAAAAAGAGCTTGAGAAATGGAGGCAAAAAGCTAATGAGGCCCTTCGTCTAAGACTCCAGGCTGAGGAGGAAGCCCACAAAAAGAGCCTTGCTCAAGAAGAAGCTGAGAAACAAAAGGAGGATGCTGAGCGTGAAGCTAAAAAGAGAGCCAAAGCTGAAGAGTCAGCCCTGAAGCAGAAAGAAATGGCTGAGAAAGAACTTGAGAAGCAGAGGATGGTAGCTGACAGCACAGCTCAGCAGAAACTCACTGCAGAACAGGAACTGATTCGACTTAGAGCAGACTTTGACAACGCAGAACAGCAGAGATCCATCCTTGAAGATGAACTGTACCGCCTGAAGAATGAAGTTATTTCAGTTCAACAACAAAAGAAACAGCTGGAGGATGAACTGGCCAAAGTCCGGAGTGAAATGGATGTACTTTTTCAGCTTAAATCCAAAGCAGAAAAGGAGACCTTGTCCAACACAGAGAAGAGCAAACAACTTCTTGAGGCTGAAGCTGCCAAGATGAGGGATGTGGCTGAGGAAGCAAGCAAGCTGAGAGCCATTGCCGAAGAGGCCAAGCATCAGAGGCAAGTTGCTGAGGAGGAGGCAGCTCGTCAGAGAGCAGAGGCTGAGAGGATTCTCAAAGAGAAGCTGGCTGCCATCAGTGAGGCCACTCGTTTAAAAACGGAGGCTGAAATTGCCCTGAAGGAGAAGGAGGCAGAAAACGAAAGACTGCGGCGACAAGCTGAGGATGAAGCTTACCAGAGGAAAGCTCTTGAAGACCAGGCCAATCAGCATAAGCAGGAGATTGAGGAAAAGATTGTCCTACTCAAAAAATCATCGGAGGCTGAAATGGAAAGACAAAAGGCAATAGTGGATGACACATTGAAACAGAGGCGAATTGTCGAAGAAGAAATCCGAATTCTGAAGCTCAACTTTGAAAAGGCTTCATCTGGAAAACTTGATCTGGAGCTAGAACTGAACAAACTGAAAAACATTGCAGAGGAAACACAACAAAGCAAACTAAGAGCAGAGGAGGAGGCAGAAAAACTAAGGATGCTTGCCCTTGAGGAGGAAAAGAGAAGGAGGGAAGCAGAGGAGAAGGTTAAGATTATCGCTGCTGCAGAGGAAGAGGCAGCCAGACAACGCATGGCAGCTCAAGAAGAGCTTGATCGCCTGAAGAAGAAAGCAGAAGAAGCCAGAAAGCAGAAAGAGGAGGCCGACATTGAAGCAGAAAAACAGATTGTTGCTGCCCAACAAGCAGCCCAGAAATGCAGTGCTGCTGAGCACCAAGTCCAGAGTGTCCTTGCCCAACAGAAGGAAGATATCATCATGCAGCAGAAGCTTAAGGAAGAGTATGAGAAAGCCAAAAAGCTTGCCAAAGAGGCAGAGGCTGCTAGGGAGAAGGCAGAGAGGGAGGCTGCCCTCCTTCGTCAACAAGCAGAGGAAGCAGAACGGCAAAAGGCAGCTGCTGAGCAAGAAGCTGTAAATCAAGCCAAAGCTCAGGAGGATGCCGAGAGGTTGAGGAAGGAGGCCGAATTTGAAGCTGCTAAACTAGCACAAGCAGAAGCTTCAGCACTCAAGCAGAAGCAACAAGCCGATGCTGAAATGGCAAAGCACAAAAAACTAGCAGAGCAAACATTGAAACAGAAGTTCCAAGTGGAGCAAGAGCTTACAAAGGTGAAACTTAAGCTTGATGATACTGATAAACAGAAATCTCTACTGGATGAAGAGCTGCAGCGCTTGAAGAATGAGGTTGATGATGCTGTCAAACAGAGGGGGCAGGTGGAGGAGGAGCTGTTCAAAGTCAAGGTTCAGATGGAGGAGCTACTCAAACTGAAAAACAGAATCGAGGAGGAAAATCAACGCCTGATTAAGAAAGACAAAGATAACACACAGAAATTCCTGGCAGAGGAAGCTGAAAATATGAAGAGGCTCGCAGAGGATGCTGCTAGACTCAGTGTAGAAGCCCAAGAGGCTGCACGCTTGAGACAGGTTGCAGAAGATGACCTCAATCAGCAACGAGCTCTTGCAGATAAAATGCTCAAAGAAAAAATGCAGGCCATACAAGAGGCATCTAGGTTCAGAGCTGAAGCAGAGATGCTCCAAAGACAAAAGGACTTGGCTCAGGAGCAGGCACAAAAGTTGCTGGAGGATAAACAACTGATGCAACAGCGTCTGGAAGAGGAAACTGAAGAATACCAGAAGTCACTTGAAGCAGAGAGGAAAAGGCAATTGGAGATCGTAGCTGAGGCCGAGAAACTCAAACTTCAGGTTTCTCAGCTCAGTGAAGCCCAGGCCAAAGCTGAGGAGGAGGCTAAAAAATTCAAGAAACAAGCTGATCTGATTGCTGTCCGTCTTCATGAGACTGAAATAACCACCCAGGCAAAAATGACTGAAGTGGCTAAACTGGCATCTGAGAAACAAAATACCAGCAAAGAGGCTTGAGATTTACGCAAGGCAATCGCAGACCTAGAGAGGGAGAAGGATAGACTGAAAAAGGAAGCAGAAGAACTTCAAAATAAGTCTAAAGAGGTATTGTGTCAAAAATGGCATAACAGAGCAGCTTATGTCATTGTTAACTCTATCTGAAAACTAACATACTTCTTTCTTTAAATTTCCTCTATCCCTTTCTCTGTTTATACTAATCATGAAACCATATCTTTGATTTTAAATGTGATTTTTTTACAGTGCACTGTGCTCATGCAGATCACATCCTGAATGCCCCCCCCCCCCCCCCCCCCCCCCCCCCCCCCCCCCCCCCCCCCCCCCCCATCCTGGAATGTTGCTTCACTTTTTTAAGACATGCTTCACATTTCCTTTAGCCTCAAAACTCAGCACCAAAATATGACAGACTGAGAAGACTGAAGTTATGATATTCCATCTGCAATTGTGCCAAACATAACAATTTAAATGTGATTGGAGACATGCCTTATTACAATATGCACCTATGTATTTACTAGAACTCCTAGGAAGATTTTTGCCAGTGTTCAGTGAGTTTTAAAGGAATGCATGTATCATGGATGGTAGCAAAATCCTTAATATTGGCTGGATTTTCAGGATAAAAGAAAATAAAAAGAAATAACTTTACGATGCACCTACTTAGTGGCTAAGAAAAAGACATGTCACCTACAGTTACCATTTGTCCATCAGTGTTGATGTCGTTACTCAAAAAAAGTGATGTATTACACATTATTGTTACTTTGAAAAATAACTGCTTTACTTGACTTAATTACTTCCTGTAGAAAGTAATTCGTTAAGCAACGCTCAGGTGTATTAAGAGAGCACTGCAGTAGGTTATAACTGCCTCAAAATAAAACCACATCAATATAAATAACAATATAGAATAGGTTGGCCATCCTCACACTGCCTAATACAAATATTTACTGCCTTAAAATAATATATCAATAGGCCTAAAGAAAATAATATGCAAGACTAGCCTTCCACACACCATTAGATGCGTTACCACATAGCTGCATTACAAAGTATTGCGTAACCGTAATTACATTGCCTTGTAACAGGTCACCCCCAACACTGGTAACAATGCCCAGTATTCACTGTGAATGCTGTGTTAAGATAATGCTGACATCTCCACCCCACCAGATATATGTGTTGCATTTGTCATTCAAGCAAAACTCTGTCACCCATATTGACATGACAAAATATTTGCCAGAGATGTCACCGTACCTATTCAGCCCTCCATCAGACATTACCATGACATGCACCGGTGTGTATCAGTTGACACGAAGGGCATGTGGCTTCATCCACAACCTCCATCCCTTGGGTTATTAGTGGAGTTTTCCTTTACTGTTTAACTATTTGAAAGGGTACCCTCCTAGAGTCTGTGCAAACAGTTTATCATACAGATCTGATGGTGTAAAGTAAGCATTACATGACATGCCCCTTGCCATTTAAAATAAAAAATATTAAGGTGTATCTGTCGTAACAGATGTAAATAATGAAATAACGAAATATAATTACTGATATCTAACAGTAAGCGATAATTTTTCATGTAACGAAATTGCTTCACTGTTGCAACACATAAAGTTACACAAAAAAATTAACAAACAAGCACTGGATAAACAGCATTTGCCAATTTATTGGTACCACAGTTAAGCAGAATATCTTAAAATCTCAGTTTGTAAAAGCGTATATATTTATATAAAATCTGTAGACTTTGTTGAACATAGTCCATCATAATCCAGATTGACTGTGACAGTGATTTTTCTCAACTGAGTTTTAGTGTAACATGTGAGTTCTGCTCATATAACTTAATTAATTTGCAATGGTTTGATCACTCAGGGCCACTGTAAATTTACCTAATGTTTGATACAAATGTCTAGGGATCTTTGTGATTCTATTTCAGTCTCATTTGACCTCTCAATAATCAGAGCCACCAACAAGTTCTTACGAATAGGAAAAAATTATTTTGGACTCACTTTACTTAGTTTTGCAGATACATTATATGAAATTACACAGTCCACTCTAAGTAATAGTAAATTATTGTCTGTGTGTGTGTTTTTTTAATTTGACTTTTGTAATTAAGAATATAGGTGATGAATTGTGTGTATCATCACACATACATTACACACACACACACACACACAATAAAGATGGTGATCAGTTCCAAGAAGGTAATAATTGTGTCCATGCAGCCAATTTTCTGTTCAAATTCTTGTAAGGCAAAAAATATTCTCATCAAACTGTATATTTAAAAAAGGGACTCTTATGAGAGTCTATTTAAGTCAATTACATTTTTGGTCATACAACTTCTGTTATTTAGTAGTTTGAGCAATGTCATTCTCATGGTTGATCTGGATTTTCTAATGTAGGCTGAAATACTAAAAAATTACACCAATATGAAAATGTATTATCTGTAATCTTGGATGCTAGAGAAAGAGGACATTTATTTAAAAAAAAAAATACTACACAACCAATTTTGAACTATGAAAAACCTGCAGAAAAGCACACATAATCTCAATTAGGGATTTTTTTAAATCTCCATATGCATAAGCAGAGTGCATTGTACAAATTCTATCCATTATAAATTAAATAAACAATTAAGAAAAACCAAATTATGTACAGAATATATATGCATCACCTATATACCTTTGTAACTTGTGTTTTCTATGTTTTTTCCCTATCAGATGGCCGATGCACAGCAGAAACAAATTGAAAAAGAGAAGATAGCCCTCGAGCAGACATTCCTTACAGAAAAGGAGATGCTTTTAAAGAAAGAGAAGCTGATTGCAGAGGAGAAAAAGAAGCTGGAGAGCCAGTATGAAAAGGAAGTCAAAAAGGCCCAAGCTCTCAAAGATGAACAGGAACGCCAGAGACAGCAGATGGAGGAGGAAAAGAAGAAACTCCATGCTACAATGGATGAGGCCCTCCATAGACAAAAAGAGGCTGAGCAAGAGATGCTCAACAAGCAAAAAGAATTGCAGGATATGGAGAGGAAGAGACTAGAGCAGGAAAGGATTCTTGCAGAAGAGAACCAGAAATTGCGTGAGAAGCTGCAGCAGCTTGAAGAAGCACAAAAGAATGTCCCTGACAAAGAGACCATACGTGTGACAATGGTTGGGTCACAAAGTGCAGTTTACAATGGCCAAAATGCTGGTGATGCAGCAGACAGTGTGGAGAAGAAACCAGATCCCTTGTCTTTTGATGGCATACGTGAGAGGGTACCTGCAAGCAGACTTCATGATGTTGGCCTTCTATCCAAGAAGGAATTTGACCAGCTAAAGAAAGGCAAAATCACTGTTCAAGATCTTGGTGAGACTGAAGCACTTAGAAGAATTCTTAAAGGAAAGAACGGCATTGCTGGTGTTTTGACGCCATCTAATGAAAAAATGTCAATCTACCAAGCATCAAAAGAGAAAAAGATTACTCCAGGCACAGCTATGATCCTTCTTGAAGCCCAAGCAGCCAGCGGTTACATGTTAGACCCTATTAAGAATCAGAAACTTTCTGTAAATGAGGCTGTCAAAGAAGGCGTTATTGGCCCTGAACTGCACAACAAAATGCTTCTGGCTGAGAGGGCAGTTACTGGCTACAAAGATCCATACACTGGTGGGAAGATCTCTGTCTTTGAAGCCATGAAGAAAGGTCTGATAGAACATGATCATGCCATCAGAATCCTTGAGGCTCAGCTTGCAACTGGTGGCATCGTTGACCCAATCAATAGTCACCGTGTACCTAATGAAACAGCCTACAAACAGGGACAATATGATGCTGAAATGAACAAGATCATGGAGAAACCTTCAGATGACACAAAGGGATACTTTGACCCAAGCACTCAGGAACCTTTGACATATGCTGAGTTGATGGCGAGATGCACCACTGACCCTGACACCAATCTGCTACTCTTGCCAATCACAGACAAAGCTGCTCAGTGCTCAAGTATATACACAGAGGAGGAGACCAAGGATGTGTTCAGCAAAACAACTGTGTCCGTGCCATTTGGACGGTTTCAGGGCAAGACTGTCACCATTTGGGAAATTATCAATTCTGAGTACTTCACTGAAGACCAGAAGAAGGATCTTCTCCGTCAATACAAGACAGGAAAAATCACAATTGAAAAAATCATTAAGATTGTGATTACTGTGGCAGAGGACAAAGAGAAGAAGAATGAAATTACCTTTGATGGTCTGAGAGCACCAGTTCCTGCCACTGAACTCCTGGAATCCAAAATCATTGATAAAGACCTCTACAACAAATTGCACAAGGGCAATAAGACAGTCAAAGAGGTATCTGAAATGGAGCCTGTCCACAAAGCATTGAAGGGTACAAACTGTATTGCAGGTGTAGTTATTGACTCATCCAAGGAGACAATGTCTTTCTATCAGGCTATGAAGAAGGACATGATGAGGGCAGAGCCTGCCTTGCATATGCTTGAAGCCCAAGCAGGCACAGGCTACGTGGTTGACCCTGTCAATAATCAGAAGCACACAGTTGATGAAGCCGTCAAAGCAGGAGTTGTTGGACCTGAGCTGCATGAAAAACTCCTGTCTGCAGAGCGGGCTGTTACAGGTTACAAAGATCCTTATACTGGCAAGACTGTATCTTTGTTCCAAGCGATGAAAAAAGATCTCATACCTAAAGAACAAGGAATCCGACTGCTCGATGCCCAAATGGCCACCGGTGGCATCATTGATCCAGTAAAGAGCCATCACATTCCTCATGATGTGGCATGCAAGAGAAACTATTTTGATGATGAAATGAAAGAGATTCTTAACAACCCCACTGATGAAACTAAATGCTTCTATGACCCCAACACAAAAGAAAATGTTACATACTCAGAGCTCTTCAAGAGATGTGTCCCTGACAAGAAAACTGGTCTCCCTCTCCTGCCTCTTTCTGATGAAGCAATCAGTGCAAAGGAGGAGCCAACATACACCGATGCCCAGACAAAAGAGGCCATGACTCAGGCAACTGTGGAGCTCGACTCTGGGCCATTTAAGGGCAGGAAGATGACCATCTGGGACATCATCAACTCTGAATATCTCACTGAGGAACAAAGGCTTGACCTGCTCAGACAGTTTAGGTCAGGAAAGGTTACAATTGAAAAGATAATCAAGATCGTCATCACAATCGTAGATGAGAAAGAGGCCAAGAAGCGAGAACAGTCCAACTTCAAGGGACTTAGAGCTCCTGTCCCAGCAAGTTCTCTGTATGATTCAAAAATCATTGACAAACCAACATTTGACCTTCTTCAACAAGGTAAAACAACACCTAAACAAGTTAGTGAGAATCCCAATGTCAATAAATACCTCCAGGGCTCTGATAGCATCGCTGGCATCTACCTGGAGCCAACCAAAGAGAAAGTAAGCATTTATCAGGCTATGAAGAAAAAGCTCCTTAGACACAACACAGGTCTTTCACTTTTGGAGGCCCAGGCAGCCACTGGATTCCTTGTAGATCCAGTGAGAAACCAGTGCCTGACAGTAGATGAGGCAGTGAAGTCAGGTCTTGTTGGTCCAGAACTACATGAAAAACTTCTCTCTGCAGAAAAAGCTGTCACTGGCTATAAAGATCCATTTACAGGCAACAAAATCTCCCTCTTTGAAGCAGTGCAAAAAGATCTCATCCCGAAAGAGCATGCCATGCCACTGATAGAGGCACAGATGGTTAGTGGAGGAATCATTGATCCTGTAAACAGCCATCGTGTCCCAACTGATGTTGCATATCAGAAGAACATTTTCAGCAAAGAAATGGCCAAGGCTCTATCTGAACCATCTGATGATAATAAGGCTTTCTCAGACCCAGAGACCGATGAGAATGCTACCTACAGACAGCTTAAAGACAAGTGCCACAGAGATCCAGAGACAGGCCTGTACATCCTTCCACTCTCCAAGCCTCAGTCTCCAACTGTTGTAGAGAAGACATATCTCTACACGGAGGAACAAACACAGAGTGACCTGGCCAGTACCCAGATTGACATTCCAATCGAGGGCCTTGCTGATAAACCAGTGAACCTCTGGGAAATCATGAACTCAAATTTGCTTCCAGAGCAAGAGAGGCAGAAGCTCATGGATGACTATCGCTCTGGTAAAATCACTAAAGAGAGGATGATCATCATTATTATTGAGATCATGGAGCAGAGAGAGATAATCAGAAATGACAGTCCACTGTCATACAAGACTATAAGGAGAAGGATAACTATTGAGGAGCTGTACAATGCCCGCATCATTGACTTGGAGACATACAACCTCCTTAAACAGGGCAAGAGGGACATCCGTGACATAATGGAGATGACAAATGTGAAACAGTATCTCTATGGCACAGGCTGTGTTGCTGGGGTCGCAACAGACTCAAGTTCCAAGCTAAGCATATACCAAGCAATGAAGAGAGGCTTTATTAAACCAGAACTAGCCCTCAGCCTCCTAGAAGCACAAGCTGCTACAGGATTCATTGTTGATCCACATAAAAATGAAACACTCACAGTTGATGAAGCTGTACGTAAGGAAGTTGTCGGCCCTGAGATCCATGATAAACTTCTGTCAGCTGAGAGAGCAGTCACAGGGTACAAAGATCCATACAGTGGTAAAATCATCTCTCTTTTCCAGGCTATGAAAAAGGATCTTGTTCCAGAGGATTATGCTCTGAAAATGTTAGAGGCACAGACTGCCACTGGTGGAATTATTGATCCTGAATTCCAGTTCCACCTGCCAGCAGACATTGCCATGCAAAGAGGTTACATCAACAAGGAAACCAATGAAAAGCTGACTTACAGTGTTAAAGGATTCACCGACCCTGTCACTGATGAGGACATATCATATGCAGAGCTTCTCAAGAGATGCAAGTTAGATGGTGGGTTGCGCCTACTCTCCCTGGGAGACAAGAGGCTGATGTTCAAGGGTCTGAGGAAACAGATCACAATGGAGGAGCTGCTCCGCTCACAAATTATTGACCAGGAGACTGTCACTAAACTGAATGAAGGTAGTATTTCAGTGGAGGAGGTTACAGATAAACTATCAAGGTACCTTGAGGGCACAAGCTGTATTGCTGGTGTATTTTTAGAATCTACAAAGGAGCGTCTATCAATTTACCAGGCCATGAAGAAGAACATGATAAGGCCAGGCACAGCATTTGAACTCCTTGAGGCACAGGCAGCCACAGGATATGTCATTGATCCAATCAAAAACCTTAAACTGACTGTCAGTGAAGCAGTGAAAATGGGAATTGTAGGACCTGAATTCAAAGACAAGCTCCTCTCTGCTGAGCGTGCAGTGACAGGGTATAGAGATCCTTACACAGGCAAGACAATCTCTCTGTTCCAGGCCATGAAAAAGGGGCTTATCTTGAAAGATCATGGTATCCGTCTCCTGGAAGCCCAGATAGCTACTGGTGGAATCATTGACCCAGAGGAAAGTCACCGTCTGCCAGTTGAGGTGGCCTACAAACGTGGCTTATTTGATGAGGAAATGAATGAGATCTTGACAGATCCATCTGATGACACCAAAGGCTTCTTTGATCCCAACACTGAGGAAAACCTAACCTACCTCCAGCTCATGGAGAGGTGCATCACTGATCCTGACACTGGCCTGGTGCTCCTGCTACTGAAAGAAAAGAAGCGGGAAAGGAAGACCTCCTCCAAATCCTCAGTTCGTAAACGCAGAGTAGTCATTGTAGACCCTGAGACTGGCAAAGAGATGACTGTGTACGAGGCCTACAGAAAGGGGCTAATTGACCACCAAACCTACCTGGAGCTTGCTGAGCAGGAGTGTGAATGGGAAGAGATCACAATGACCTCATCTGATGGTACTGTTAAATCCATCATCATTGACAGGAGATCAGGAAGACAGTATGATGTTGATGATGCTCTTTCACGTGGCCTCATTGACCAGAAAGCCCTTGATACATACCGATCTGGAAACCTAGCTATCACAGAATTTGCTGACATGCTTTCTGGAAACATGGGAGGTATTCGCTCACGCTCATCCTCTTTTGGTTCCACCACTGGTTCCACCTACTCCTCTCCCATGAGCCCCATACCCTCCATTAAAGCACCTGCAGTCATATGGAATGACCCAGCAGAGGAGATTTGCCCCATAGCAGGAATATTGGACATAGACACACTGGAGAAGGTGTCTATCACTGAGGCCATACACAGGAGCCTTGTAGACAACATCACTGGCCAAAGACTGTTAGAGGCTCAAGCCTGCACAGGAGGAATAATTGACCCAGTAACTGGAGAGAGATTCACAGTTGCTGATGCTACAGAAAAAGGCCTTGTGGATAAAATCATGGTTGATCGCCTCAACCTGGCTCAGAAAGCATTCAAAGGATTTGAAGACCCCAGAACTAAAGAAAAGATGTCTGCCTCCCAAGCCCTCAAGAAAGGCTGGTTGTACTATGAGGCTGGGCAGCGTTTCCTTGAGGTCCAATATCTGACTGGTGGACTTATTGAGCCTGATGTGGAGGGAAGAGTGTCGCTAGATGAATCTATCAGGAAGGGCACAATTGATGCCCGCACTGCCCAGAAACTGAGAGATGCCGGTGCTTATTCTAAATATCTAACATGTCCAAAAACCAAACTGAAAATCTCCTTCAAAGATGCCATGGACAAAAGCATGGTTGAGGAAGGAACTAGCTTAAGACTTCTGGAGGCTTCCTCACAATCCAGCAAAGGCCTCTACAGTCCCTACAATGCCAGTGGGCCTGGATCTGCCTATGGCTCCCGGTCTGGCTCAAGGACCGGATCCCGATCAGGCTCCAGAAGAGGCAGCATTGATGCTGGCTTCAGCATGAGCTTCTCATCCTCCTCCTACACATCCTCTTCAACCGGCTACAGCCGCAGATTCTGATTAGATAGTTCTGTCCCTAACAATGGCCCAAGTGTCTAAGAACCAACAATACTAATGCACTTTATAGTTGCATTTTTTTTTTTTTAACAGGAAAAAATAGTTACAGTAACATGGAAATATAATTTATTTATTCTGCCCTGCATGTAGTCACATCAACAACTGCCTAGGCTAATTGATTTTTTTCACATATAACAGATGTCTAAACATGTGCCTCATATATGGAGACATTACCAAGCATTGCTAGATATATAAGATATTATTTTTCTTTAGTACTAATTACCAGTCAGTTTATATTTTTCAAGGCAAAGCATGACATTTCTGCTGGTTTTTAAATGACTTTATAGTTTTCATTATACACTTGTTAAAAAGTTGTATAGTTGTGCTTTCTGAAACTAATATATACTGTATGTATGTCAAACAGAGATATTTTTCCAGTATTCCTTTGAAATTCAAGGATATTTGTCTATTTTTTATCTTTTTTGACAGTCCTACTTGACGAGATACTGTATGACAACCTAGTTCTAGTGTTTTTAACAGATTCTAAAATACATAGATGCCTTCACATTTCTGAATATTTGTATAGAGTATGGACATATTTTGTGTTGTGATTTTTTGTGAAATGTTACCTGGGTAACTAAATAATACACCCAGCAAAAATACAACTGTGAGACACTACAAAATAAGACACTACACCAGTATAACACTGAAAAGACATGCCAGAATTAAAATTATGCAGACCATTCTGAAACCAGTTTCACATCTGTCATTATTTTTGTACTCACGCCCATTTATATTTAGTGGTCTTGCATCCTTTTGGTTTATCACACCATTGTTTTACACACTCCCAAGTTTTAGATTCTTTATGTTCACCATCAGTCAAGTGTTCCTGGTTAATCCCAAGATGATGTCAGACTTGATCCTGCTCTGCCATACTGACCTACGTCCTGTTATTTTGGTTCTTGTAAGTTCATATGTTTTTTTTAATATATTTTTCATATGCTTTTTGTTTATCTGATTTCTTGTGTTGATTTTGATTACATGTCATAGACTAGATTTTCCATTAATTTATATCATTTTTTCACTGCCGCACACATTACCATGGTGATATCACTAGTGATCTGTTTCTATTCCAAACCCTCATTACTGCTGATTGACAATTTTTATCCTGTTGTTTTTGACAGCTGCCTCAGCCCCCCAGAATCCAACATTTGAGCACAGATACTCAGTTGGACGGAGCATACAGTCCCTTCAATTTGGATGGATTCGTGAGTCCATGTCATCCTCACGCAGTTACACAGGTACAGTGTATAACTGTTTTTGCAAACATCATGTCATTATCAATTCATTTGCAAAAAATGGAGCCACGCATCATCAAGATTTGTTTTGCAATTTTTTTTAAGTTGTATTTTTTTCTCGCTGCATGGTTTGGTTCATTTTGATTTTAATTCATAGTTATTTGCTTTCATTTCTAGATCTGCCATTGAGTATGCCCTTTCTTCCATTGTACATCACATTTGAAGAAAGCTGAGGCTGAGTCAACCTGACATCATCTCGGGATGCCTTTCTAGGAACACTCTTTATTCATGACCTTTTTTTATATATATATTTATTACTTGAATGCCAACAGTGATATTTATGTTGTCATATCCTGATTTCTTAAGACAACACTCCCAAAGCAAACACATCTGCATGTGTTGTCCTTCATTTAAATTTGGATTAAGTATAGTAGAGCAGCACATCTTTGTTTAGCTGCTCTTAGGTCCATTGGTATATTTTTGTATTATGTCTCTGTAAATTCAATCCTACCAAAGTGCTAAGAGGATACATTTGGACAATTGACATGTTTGATACAGCACCACATTGCATGAATGTATGTATTATATCAAATTAACTCTTTCAGTTGACATTTTGCAAACAGAAAGTTTGATGCTTTATTTTGCTTATAGTTATTTTTCTGTAGCAAGTATTTCTGTTATGTATCTCTAAAGTGTTTTACCACTGTAAATCTTTTTATTTTTGTTTTCATCAAGTTTTTGATATATCATGAATTTGCCTTGCATGTTTTACTAACCTTACAAAGGATGATTTGGGGGACAATGTTCATATGAAATAAAGACAACTGCACATGTAGCTGTGCTGATTTTAATTTTAGCAATATACCAATTCACAAACTAACTGGTTCGTTTTGTGTATGGGGCAGATTTTGCTTTTAATGATGTGGTGAGTGGATTTTGTTGTATGAACATTAACACAATGTTGTAAATAAATGTGCTCTGAGGAGACCCTCTTGTCATTCATACATCAGTACCCATGCATCTGAAGCTATTTTTAGAGTGGAAAATGTTTTTCAGTGCCACTGTCTTAAAGGTCCACTGTGTAAAATTTAGGGAGGGACTTCAAATACTGATACCTATTTTCCATCCCTCCATGTTAAAGCACAGCAATGTTAGAGCATAACAGCTGTATAGGTCTAGGTCTTTACAGTATGTTAATATATGAGAAACATAACAAAAGTGATAGATTGCATACTGCACATAGTCTATATGACGAGTGGAGCAGGATTTTTGAGTGTTTACCTTATTTACCACTACAGAGAAAGTAGATTTTATTTTATGATAGTGATAATCAGTGGCTATAAGCTGCAGTAATATTCCATGTGAGGTCTCGAAACACTGTCATGTCAACCCAGTGGCATCCCTGCTATATAACTCTACCCTCTGGAAAAAACATGACCACATGAGGGCAGTGTTATACTGACCTACTTTGATCTCAGGAACCAAGTGACTTAGGTGAAACATAACTAGTCCAATATTTGCTTTACAGATGAACATGATATGAACCCACTGAGGTCTGTGTTTACTATAATGATTAGGTATTGTCAGATTAATGAGGGACTGACTGGGTTTTTGAAGGCTGATGATTTTACACTACTACCTACATAATATCTGTTTCATCTCACCACAAATTGGCACATTTTCCCACTGAATGTGTTCTGATCAGAGTGTAAAAGACCTAAGTCACCATTAGATCATTATTAGATATCACCTCTCCCTTGGACAGTACTGGCATTCATGTGGAGTTACACCCCACTCCTTCATAACAGATGCAAACATATTTTGTTCTATGTGCCAACATCAGCCACTGAACTTGATGGAGGAGCCTGCCAACAGAAGAAACGGGGCATTCACCTCTCAGAATTCTTCACTCAGCTCCCTTGACTACTCTGATCTGACCCTTTCCCTCCCAATACTCCCTGCATCAGACGCTGGGGACAGGGAGGTAAGACCGCAGAGAATCATCATATCCTGTATACAGAAATGAATGAATGAAGATCAAACGGCTGGAAATGCTCTAAAAGTAAACAAAGCACAAGAACAAGGATCATTTTGTATATTTTCTCTCCAATGCAGGATAAAGGAAGTTCTGTGTTTGGACCACCAACACCTACATCACAGGATCAGAGATATGGGTATGCTAATGTATAACAATGTCATTTATTCTTGCCACAGTAATAGGTAACTTGCATCCTTGATTGACTGACAAATTATAACATCTGTTCAACTTAACACCCAACCTCAAAGAAATACCAAACAAGAAGCAAACTTGCAGAGCACAGACCTCCGCTGAGGTCAATAGTCCAACCTTCTATGATATGGAAATTTGCAAGCTCAACCACCATATATGTAATGTATTTCCAAAATTATTAGAATCAGGGGATGGAAGATCAGAGTGACATGGTTAAAGTCCACGATCACAAACTTCATGGTAAATATTGCCTCTTCTCAGAAAGTTTGAACATGTTTCCCAAATGTCAGACAAAGCACACTTAGATCTGTTTGTGTCCAGTGTGAATCTCACAACCTTAATGAAAGTGAATAATAATTTGTGTATCCGCTACGTGATTTAGACCCACTACAAAATGTCATGGGTTTTAACGTGGCCCATGCTACACCCTTCCACCAAGTGCCATAAAAATCAGACCAGTAGTTTTTCCATAATCCTGCTGATAAACAGACAAACAAGAACCCAACCAAAGCGAACACATAACCTCCTTGGCAGAGGTAATGAGGAATTTTAGTTCATAGCCAATTAGCACTACCTGAGCAACATCACATAAGCTGATACTTTTGAATTTAACTTATTTTATATTTGAAGCAAATACTGTGATCCAAATGAGACCTGCTTGACTGAAAGTGGCCACCAACAGTCACATTAAAAGAAAACACACAGCCCGTGACGACAGTTGCTCAATTGTATCAGCTTTGTAGAGCAGTGCGTCTGCAACTGCCAGCAGCACAGAGACAGAGCTGTGAATTGTGAACTGAGCACACAGTGTAAAACATCTAATTGAAACATACTGAAACAAGAAAACTACAGTTCCAGCCCAACGGACAAAGAGACAGAGAGCAGATGCCTCCCTAATGAGATATTTTTCTAAGCCCTGGTCATATTATCCTTTGATAAGAATTCTTGAAGGCTTTGTTTCACCTCTTCCTGCTTAAGTACAGGTCATGGCTTTCCTTTGTGCCTGCTTTCCCAATTTCCTGCTTCCTGTCATTACAAGCATTCAAATTTGAAGTACACATTTGCAGTAAGAGTCCAGAGTCATTCAACAAATACACTGTACTAGTCCATACCCATTGGTAGCTTTGTCACCTTCTACCTATGCCAATCCTCAATGCCTATGTGCAGTTTCACATAGATTGACCACGTCAGTGAGTAGAAAAATGTGGGACAGACAGAATGACTGACTGACAGAATGACACAGTTTCCGTGAATATGTACAGCATACCATACCATGACTTAGTCATACCAAAAATTAGAAAAAACAAAAAACAAAAAAAACATTCAGCCACAGGGGGAGCCACAGCGATTGGCCACATTTTAGCCATTTTTAAGCATTTAAAGGCCTAGATAATAAATTAGCTCTCTAGCGCCCCCATTTTGTTTGATTGGGTCAATAATGGAGGGGTCCCCTCAGATTATGTGTGGTCATATGCCTTGCGTGGTAATCGGTTATACACCTTTATGTGATGAGCCACGCCCTCCGCAATATTCGTTGCCTTATAGAAGCTCAGTTATAGTAAGTTTTCCAACTTTTGCCAAGAGGGAACTTTAGATATTGGTCCCTAGATTATGTTCATGGAGTTTCATGCTGATCGGTCAAACTTCCTAGGAAGAGATCGATTTTAAGTGTTTTTCAAAAAATTCAAAATGGCTGAAAATCTATATAACCAGAAGTTATGGGCTCCTTGAGGCAAATTTGTTCCTCATGAGAAGAGGCATCTCTGTGCAAAGTTTCATGTCTCTTCGACATATGGGGCATGAGATATGCCCATTCAAAGTTTGCATTATCAATCGGTTGCTATAGCGCCCCCCTTTGGCCAATTGATGTAATAATGCTTCATTCGCATCCTCCCATGACCCTCTACCACTGTGCCAAATTTCACATGGATTGACCAAGTCAATGAGGAGAGAAATGTGGAACAGACACACAGAGTTTTCGTCATTATATAGTAAGATTACTATGAATGCAGTGTGAAAAATAACTGAGTGCTTCATGCTGCTCATGATATGACACAACAAACAACAGCTTGAGACAGCTGAAAATAAGATAAGGTACATTACAAGAAAGCATATTACCAATCTGTCCCTATAAACAGATTAGTAATAACTTGAATACCATATTTGGCTTGATTTAGATGATCCTGTTTAGTACATATGTTTAAGATATTTGATTGTAAAATATGATCAGTATAATTCCCTATGTTTTGTTTTGCTCCTCTCTGTTTTAGGAGGGACCTGGAGGACTTGAGTCAATGGCAGTGTGAGTTCAGGGGTCAAATTATAGCACTGAGACAGTGGCTTAAGAGCATGGAGATGAGGCTGCCTCCTCTGGACCCCAGGGTTAGTTGGGTTTACCGTCTGTCTGCCTTCTGTTGTCTCTCTACCTTTCACTCAGCCCATTCGCCACCTGAGGGGACAACAGTATGCTACTTTTTTTTTTTGGCCACCATCAAATTTCAAGTCACTGAATATTATCAGGCATTGGACACTTTGCACTGTACATCCTGCCAAGCTAGTCCGCATGAAAAGAAATCCATCAGTCATGTCTCAGCTCTTTGTTTCTCGCTCCCTCTCATTGTGTGTGTCCATCAACTACAGTTGTGCGAAGGCTACAAAGACACTGGTGAGGCCCTGTGTTCCCATCACACTGGGAAACAATGCAACAACACTGCAACAACACTGCTTTATCATCAACACTGCAAAGTGCATAACACTGCAAAAAAAAAGCTTGTGGCTCAGTACTAAGGCACAGCAGTGCTTTATAAGCTGAGTGCTAACATCAGCATGCTAACATTTTCACAGTGACATTTCTAACATGCTGATGCTAAGCAGTTGTAGTTTACTATGTTCATCACCTAGCATATTAGCATGCTAATGTTTGCTAATTAGCAGTGAACAAAAAGCACAGCTGAGGCTGATGAGAATTACATTAGTTTGTGCAGTCATTTCATCATAAGCCAAACTATTGGGGAAAATATTTTGACTTAAAGATAGTACTAGAGGAGAAGTTTACGTTCTGCAGAACATAAATGTCAAAAATTTCATTGCAATATAGCTGTTTGAGACATTGTACTCAAAACAGCGAACATAAATGTCATGGTGGCACTTTTTGAAAAGTCAGGAATCATCAATATAAGTGGGCCTCATCCTCCATGGGTCCATGCACCAAATTTAAAGGTGAATCATCTAATAGTTGTTGAGATAGCCTATTCTCGGAGAAGCCAGCGCACAGTGGTCCCTTCTATGGTGGGCAGTAAGCCAAGAGACTGAAAATCAAAATAATAATAATAAAGGCCTTTTAAAATTATTCTAGAAGATACAAGGAGTTGAAAGTGTTGTAAATCTTGCACAGTAAGTGAAAAGAACTTGCATTACCAGATGTTGGTGCATGTGTAATTGCATGGGTAGGGAGGAATCTGAATGTGTCTCCAAATGAAGTCAGTGAGTTGTGTTTAACCTCATTCATATAATCCACCATCCCTATGGTGCTGGGCAAGCATGCATAACAGATGCTAAAGAATCCATGATCATGGGGAAAAATGCTGTCTAATGTTTCATCTTTGATGCAATTTATTGTACCGGTGAAGGAATTACTGCATCTATCAATATGATTACTAACCATAATAGTTTGAATTTTGGTTTATATTGTTTTCTGATGTTTTTCTCACATTATATTTTATTTTCATTCAATTTCCCCCATGATGTATCCTGTATT